TTTAAAAAATAATTAACAACTTCAGAAAAGTTGCAGGTTATAAAACAAACCCACACAAATCATCAACATTTCTGTATCTTACCAATAAAATTCAGCAAGAAGAGATAGAAAGATAGAGAGTTCCGGACAGTATAAAACACTTGGGAGTCTAATTGCCAAGACACAACAACTATATGAACACAATTACAAAATAATCTTCATACAAATACAGATCTAAACAACTGGGGAAATATTAATTGCTCATGGGTAAGCTGAGCCAATATGATAAAAATGACAATAGTAAATTAATTTACTTATTCAGTGCCATACCAATCAAACCACCAGATTTGAACTCGGGTCTTCCTGACTCCAGATTCAATGATCTATCCTAATGGAAAGCTACTGTGCTATAGCACAATGTCAAATGAATGAAATGATGAAGGGAATGGTTTCAGAAACACCTGGGAAGACTTATATGAACTGATACAAAGCAAAGTGAACAGAACCAGAAGCAATGTTATAAAAATGATCAACTCTGAAAGACTTGGGAACTCTGATTGACATAATGACCAATCACATGATGTTTCATGATGAAACATGCCACCCAAAAAAGAGAACTGATGGACTCGGAGAGTAGAAGAAAATTTTTTTCTCTGTTTTTCTTTTTCTTGTCTTTCAGGGGAAGAGGGGGAGAGGGGGAGAGGGGAGAAGAAGGAACATGCCTAGTTTGAAATTCATTTTGAATGACTATACCTATTCATGATGGGTTTTGTATTTCTTGCCTTCTCAATGGGTGAGGGAGGAGGAGGGGAGGGAGAGAATTTGGAACTGAAAAAAGGGGGAATCAAAAAGTGTCTGGGCTTTAATAAAAAGGGTGGGGGAGGTGAGATACCTAACTAGGAAAAAAAGTCAAACAAACAACAAAAAGTGGGACATCAGTTAGAGGTTAAAAGAAAAAGGTGAGAAAGAGGTCGTGAGGAAGCTAAGACTTGGAGGGGAGAAAGCCTCTCTGACTATGGCTTGAACCAAATGAAACAGCATTCTGCCCTCAGATTAGAGACCATTCTAATCTTAGAAACATCTATCACTTTGGCTCTGGCTCAAGCTACTGGGGTTTGGTGTTTGGAGAGGGAGGAGGAGCATGGGGTCATTTCACAGTTCGGTAAATAATTGGATGCTTGGGTTCGATTTGTCCATTCAGCAAATTCATGCCGTCTTTTTGTTTTGTTTTGTTTTGTCTTGTGGCTCGTGGTCAGCTCTATCTCGAGCCGCTGGTCTCCAGCTTGGAGCTCACGGGAGTTGCAATTGCACCGATATAGGAGGAAGGCTGGGGAATGCAGGAGGATTTGCTGGCACTAGGTTATTGGCTCCCAGACCGACATGATTCAGGAATCTGCAGAGGCTGAGAGTCTTTGGAAAATCACCGGACTGTAGATTTAGAGCTAGGAGATGCATCAAAGGTCATCTCTAGTCCCCATTTTGCTGATGAGGAAACTGAAGCAAAGAAGTGACTTGCCCAACATCACATGGGTGGTGACTCATAGTCAGGATTCAAACTCAGGTCCCCTGACTCTGAGTCCTCTACCCTTTCCACTCTGACATGGAAAATATGAATCCCATTTTACATTGGGAGGCTTTTGGGTTCTCTTGTCCAATCTCCTCATTTTACAGAAGAGGAAACTGAGGCCCACACATGTTAACTTCGTTTGTGCAAGAGACATTGGTAGGGAGAGGGAAAGGTGGGATTTGAAGCTGACACTCCTTAGACACGCCACCTCCCATGGTCACTTCAGCTCTCTGAGACTCTTTGCTCATCTATGAAATGGGGCAAGTCTTCCTCCCCGTCTCTCCCCTAGGGCCGTGGTAAAAACAAAACAAAACCCTCTTGGCAATCTTTAAAAACTATAGGAAACACTTGCAGGAGAGCAGAGCCCAGGGGTGACGATTCCATCACATGAAGACAAAGTGAGCTGCCGATCACATTTAAAAGGCAAGTCTGCAAAAATCAAGCTAAAAAGAGTTTCGACCATCTGCAACAGCGTTTTGCCACCTCTATCCCAGGAGAGGACCTCTGACAAACTGGGGAAAAAAACTGGGGGAACGTCGTGTTTTGTAGGTAGAGGCTAAATTCCCAGCAGCTCCCAGGGCCAAGTGCTGACCCGAGCAATTACTGTCTGGCTGTTGGCACGGCTAACGCCAAGCTCAGTGATATCTGACTGCCTCATCAGAGAGGCAGTATGGGGAGGAAAATGCCCATCCAAATTAGACTCGTTTCTAAACAGCTACTAGGAGGTCCTAACCTCAAGGGCTGCTGAAGACTCCAGGCTGGGGGCTCTTCCAGAAGGTGCGTCTGGTCCAGGCAAGGTTTTTGCTGACGTGCCCCACGTCCCCATCCCAACTACAGGGTTCTGAGTGACGTGGGACTCTATTGCAACATATACTTTGGGCACGGGTTGATAGGGGATCCAGCGAGACGGACTCAGCTGGTGATAGAAGGGGCTTCATCCATGCAATGCCGTGGATGGAAGGGAGCCCAGATCAAAAAAGGCTAGAATGTCACGTGGGACACCAGGGGTTCTTAACCTTTCCTGTGTCAAGGTCTCTGCTGGCGGTTAGCCTGGTGAAGTCGACAGACCCCTTATCCGAAGAATGCTTTTAAACGCGTAAAATAAGATACAGAGGATTATAAAGGGAACCAATTACATTGAAATACTGTTATCAAAATACTTTAAAAATCACGTTCACAAGACCCCAGGGTAAGAACTTTAGATTTAGGTCAATTTTCATTTTAGAGAGAGAGGAAGCATGGCCCAAAATTGACTTGGATAAAGCCACTCTAAGCCATAGCAGGGACAAAAGCTCCAATCTCCTAACCACCCCCCTGAAGGTAGCAGTGGAAATCATAGGATTTCCATCCATTCAGGACCAAGAAAATGGGGGTATCATTACTTCTCCTTTCCCCACCCCCAAATATGATACAAAGCCAATTATTTATTTCCTTCACCTACCAGGAGGGCCCACTGAGAAAAGGAACACGATCCAGGCCTAGGATTATAGACCTAGAACCAAAAGGGTCTTCAGCAGCCATCTGGTTTCACAGCTTCCCATTACCAATATGGAAACTGAGCAAAGTCACATGGGAAATAATAGGGCTTGAATGTCACTGAGTTTGAAGCCAGTGAAATTTGAGTTCATCACCTCTGGATTACAAGGACCAGAACCCAAAACCAGGCATAAGAAATACAGGGAAAACTCAGGGACAGCCTGGTTCTGCTCCTGGGAAGCAAGAACATTTGTTAACCTGGATACCTCCTGGGAATAGAGTGGGGCCTAGGAGGGCACAGTCCAAATGGAAATCATTTGCAAAATGTATGCAAACCCCACCGGGTCAGAAGGGCTGAAGGCAGAGCGTGGCTCCCCAGCATCCCCCAAAGGGACCCTGGTCAACACCCTCTTCCAGAAGGTGCCAGTCGCCCCCTGGTGACCAAGGGCAGGAACACACAGATGTCTGTGAGGTACGGATAATCCAGTTACTCACCCCCGTCCCCAGACCCAGCCTGGCCTGCTGATGACACAGAGGGCCGGAGCTGCCCGTGCTGCATCGGTAACAAATCCTCCACATCAAGGCTGCTCTGCTCGACTTCTCCAGTCTTCAGAAACAGATGACCTGCTTCTACTCATCTATTAACTCATCCGTTGCCCTTTGCTAACTGGCTAGGGGATCAGACAGGTCTCACATTGTGCCAGCTTAGGAAAAGATAAACATTCCTGTCCCCCAGTCTCTGTTTTTGGTTTCCTTGATGACCCAAGGTTCATGCAGTGTGTATTGTGTCTTTTAGGAGTCAGGGGAGGCTTGAGGGGGTCTCATCCCCTCACCTCTGGGGAGGAGGGAGCTATGTGTAAGGCAGTTATGAGGAGCAGGGGCATAGATGAGAGTCAGGTGATGGACACGGGGTGCTCATCCAGTGACCTAATGACAGCAGCACCTCACCTATACAAAAGCCATGCGGGGGGGATTCCCATCCAATCCCAACCAAGACAGTGTGGGTCCCCACCGCTTCTCCTCCCCCCAAATACCTGCCCCACCAGGACATAATATAAAGTCATTTTTCCTTTCACGTACTGAGAGTGCCCACTGAGAAAGGGAACCACTGTAGTTGTGGACAAAGACCAGAGAAAATGGCTCCCTGGGGGATGCCGGGGACACACAGTACCTGATGGGTCACAAATGTTCCCTCAGGACGAGGTCGGCCCCCCGAGCTGTGGAGAAGTGGGGAAGCACAGGAGACAAACTTCCTGTTCAAGGGCAGTGCCTTCATATCTTAAGTCCTTTTTCTTTTCTTTAAATCTAAAGTGACCAGCTTGTCTAAAGTGAATGTTTATCTAAAGTGAACAGAGAGAGAGAGATTCCAGGCTTGGTGGACCGCAGAGCTGGGGCTTGGGCCTCTCCCTGCTCAATTAAGGGACTGCTGTGTATTGTGAGGGTCCAAAGAGAGTTCAGAGCCCTAGAAGTGAGATCTCTCTGGAAGGGCTTCCCAAGAAAAATACAATAAATCCTGTAAAATAACACAAAATTGCCATATTAAAAAAATATATATATTTACTACCAAAGATTTTTTAGTTTTCTTTCCATTCCTACCAAGGTTTTGTTCATTTTTTAATCTCCAGTGCTCTTTTCATCATTGCTGTTGTTGATGTGAGAACAGGTGAGGCTCCCTGGGGGTGGGGATGTCACAAAGTCCTTAGGTTTCAAGTTCTCTACCCCTGGTTTCAAGCTCAATGCACTCAGTCTACAGTGGCCTTCATTTATTCAGCATATATTTCTGTATTTAAGAACATCATTACAAGGTCAAGTTCCTTTCCTCCCTCCCCGAACAGTTTTCAAATCTTCCCTCCACCTATCCACTCCGTGTGTAGATTATGGGGACCCGCTGGCCTCTACCTCCATCCTCCCTGCACCTTTCAAGAGTTCAGGATGGGAAGAACTCCTAAGCGCTCCATGGCTGGATCAGAGGATCCGGGTCCTTCGTTTAGATTCTGCAGAAGCTGCTGGGCAGAAAGACTCCCTGGGACTCCAGGCAGCGAGTCTGTTTCATGGATACTCATGGATACAGAATTATCACAGGAAGTTCTCACATTCCACACCAGCTGAATGTTGGGGGTAAGAACGCTCTATACATGGACCACGTTAAACATACCACAAAGCATACAAAGTCTTCACTGGTTCATTCATTCAGACATTTAGAGAGGCCTGCTCGGTGCTAGGTTGTCCAAAGGAATTTAAAAATGGGAGGAGTGGTCTGCATGGACAATTCCCGTTTAGCTGCTGAAGACAAGATGCTTATCCATGACAATTTAACAGATGGCCCGAGCAGCACTGGCTAAGTGATGACTGAGATTTCCAGAGAGTCCACCAGGGCTCGAGCGGTCAGCGAAGAGTTCATCGCAGGGCCGCTGCTGAGAAGCGGGATCTGGAGGAGCAGAAAGGGCAAAGGAGGCGCCTCGCCCTCACCTTGTCTCTACTATGAGGGAGTCTCCACAGCCAGAGCTGAGGGCACCCCTCCAGCCCAAGTGGGTTCAGGCACCAAATCTGAGGAAGAAGGGAACAAGGCCCGTTTATGGTAGGTCTTAGGGATGTGGCCTTAAGGGAAGTCTGGAAATGTGAGAGCCTTCGCCTCTAGGGCAGCTGTAGGCATCAGGAAGTGGAGGAGGAGGGGCCGGTGACCGTGCGAGTGGCATTCACCTACACAGAAGAGGGATGCCAGTCTGATGTGCCAGCCCGCGGCTCTGGATGCATGCAGCCATGACCGGCGCTGGGGCCGGCCAGCCAGCTGTCTGTCAGGAGCTCGTGGCTGCCAGGGGCCCAGGAAGCCGCTGTCTGTGACAGTGACTGCAGAGCATCACCCTAGGAGCTGTTCAAGGCCTGCAGCACGTCAGCCTTTAAGGAGGACTCGGAATGGAGGGAGACTCCGGGAGCCCCGATGGTGGTCTCCCAGCACTCGAACCCACAGCCGATGAGGGCCTGTTTGGTGGCTTCCACCACAGACTGCTCCAGACCTGGGGGAGGAGGAAAGGCAGCTGTTACCGGCCCAGGACCTCGGTGTGACTAGACCCAATTCTCTGGGCACCAGGGAGTGTCAAGGTAACGAGCCCAGGCTGTGCCTTCCCAGACCTCCCCTCTGCTCAGCCATCCTGCCCAGCATGCTCCGGGCCTTCCACCCTCCTCTATGGCCCTGTCTGGAGCCACATGCCCCCATCACTCTCCTTGGCACTGAGCACCGGGGACACACCCTCAATGTGCAAATCATGTGAGCCCCAGTCTCTTCATCTACAAAATAGGGCGAAAGCAGCACCTGCCACCCAGGGCTGCTGGGAGGAAATGTTGTTATCAGCAGACGCTTAAATCAGGGCTCAGAGGCCCTGAGGGTCAGCAATGGGGGCTCAGCAATGCCCCTTGGCAAAGACATTGAGGGTGAAAGGAAGAAGACCACTGACTCAGGGCTGGACGGGGCTTGGGAGGCCATTCAGACCAGCTGCCTCACTCCAGAGAGAAGGAAACTGAGATGCCTCGAGAGAAGAGGGAAGCCACGGGGAAGCAGGAAAGGGAGAAAGGGAGAGATGTGCCGGGCAAAAAATCCAGGATTTGGGCAGGAGGATGCCAAGGTCTTGGGTGCGAATCCCAGCTTAGGTCCTCACTACTCTGTATTCTTGGGAAAATCATGCCCACCCCAGCCCTGCCCTCTGTGGACCTGGCTCCTCATGGGCAAAGAGGGGCTTGGACTGGTTCCTCTTCTTCCAGCACCAGACCCTAACAAAGGGAGAGGGAAGAAAGAGAAAGGGAGAATAAAAAGGAAGAGGAGGAGGAGGAAGAGGAAGAGAATGAGAATAACACAGGCAGAAAGGGAAGCTAAAGTATAAAAAGAGAAAGGAGAAAAGGGGCCCAAAGGGGAAAGAGAAAAACAAGAGAGGCCTATGGTAGGGAGAGGGCCAGGCCCTGCGACCTCTCTGTGGGGTGCCAGGTCACTGGGCAGGAGCAGGTGGGGCAGACACCAGGGCAGGTGCCCTCTCTGCAGCCCAGCCCCCAAGCTACCTAGTTTTCATTTAAAAATGACCCAGCCCCTTTCCTAGCGACGGAGCCACCTCACAGTGGAAGAGCCAGGGAAACATTCATGCTCTCCTTTCTAGAGGAACCACAGGGGCCCCACCCTTGGCTCCCCTCTCCCAGGAGCCCTCCCCCCAGGAAGCCTCAAAGCTGGACCTTGGGGGCAGCCGGCCTACCTGGTCTGAGAAGGGTGAAGCCGCAGCCCCCGCCGCCAGCCCCCGTCAGCTTGCTGTGCAGCCCATGGGACGCTGTGACCTGGCACAGCCTGTCCAGGGAGGCGTGGCCCACTCCAATGGCATTGAGGTGATGCTGGTTCATGTCAATGAGCTCCTAGGAAACAGAGAGAGGTCAGGATACACTACACGTGTCTCCTGGGTGGGCCCCCAGGGCCACAGGCCGGCCTCCTCGTTTTACAGCACAGGAAACAGAAACCGAGAAAAGTTCCATGACACAGGCAGAAAGGGAAGCTAAAGTTCCGGTTACTGTGCACAAACGTGCCTGTGCGTGCCCAGAGAACCTCCTGGAGGTCAGGACTTTTTCCAGTTTTGCCCTGTCTGCCACCTGGCACAGTGCCAGGCATACACTCAACACGTGCACCTATGACCAAGTGACTGGTCAGTAGCCCAAGAGGAACCAAGCTCCCCTGCTCCACACCTCTGTGGGCCCCTGAGGGCCCCTGGCCCCAGGCCTGCTAATGGCGCACAAGGACTCGAAGATCCAGGCTGCCCTGGCTGTCTTAATCCCACACATCAGGACTGCTTTCCTGGGAAAGCACTGGACTACCCTGGCAGAGGCTGTGTGCATGCTTGTATGCGTGTGTGCGTGCACATGTGTACGTGTAATCTGGTGTCAACAAGAGGCAGAGTGAGAGAGAAGACTGAGACAGACAGACAGAGAGACAAGGAGGAGAGACAGCCAGAGAAAGGGGAGAAAGAGAAGAGGAGGGAAAAGAGAGCGGCAGGTAAAGCAGATGGATCCCAAGAGCCTCCCCTTCCCCAGCCTGGCCTCCATGAGGCCCCAGAGGACACCCCCCACACACACTCTGTGGGCACACACATGAACGTGCACTATTTCCTGCCCCGTGCTGCAGGACGGAGGGGCGGTGGGCAGCAGACACCAGGCTCACCAAGTTCAATGGAGCGTGCGATACTTGGAGACGGGCTGACAGGGCCCCAGTCTGCCAGGCAAGGCAGAGACCCCAGGAATGAGGCACACAGGAGACCCAGGAGCTCCACAGCAATGGCCTGGGCCACGGATGGGGATCCGAGGAGGGCTCCCTGACTCCTGCTCCTTGAGGGAGGAGCTCACAAAGGACACAGGCCGGTCAGGGGAAGGCCAGAGCGAAGCTGAGCAGCACGTGCCGACAGCATTGTCCACTGCCAGAGGTTCTGGCTGAGAGGCCAGATGCTCTAATGGGAAAGAAAGGGGCTGGCAGGGAGGGCAGGAGGGAACAGCCTTGGAGAACAGAGAGGGATGGGGAGGCCAAAGCTTCTCGGGACACGTGGGGAGACATGCTGGAAAGCAGTACGGAATAGGGATGAATGAGTTCCCAGACTCTTGGGGGGGGGGCCTGCTTCTCCCTCTGTAAAGGAGGCCCTCTCCCCCAGATGGATCAGCCAGTGAAAGGAGACCAGTGTTACAAGGCATGGTTACGTGCATGGGAATCAGTGACAAAACCAAGGGGAAAAAAGATAAAACTCGAAAAAATAAACCGCCAAAGTGAGAGGGGCTGGGCCAGACGAGCCCAGGAGGGTTTGCTTCTAGCTGCCACAGTCAGCTCCAGTCAGCCTGGCTAGGGGAGGGCGAGCGTGTGAGGGGCGATGGAGGGCGGGGTTTCAGCTGGGGCCAGAGGATCGAGGGAGGCCAGTGACCACACGGACAGAGGAAGCTGCTGACTGACTCTGGTGCCAGACGCCAGGGCAAGCGTGAGGCCTTCAGACCCCAAACCACTATTAATGACACGGGAAATGTACCGGGCCTTGCCAGTGGGCTGTGGGAGGTTGCTACGGAGGGCTGGGGCTTTGCCTTTGCCAGCCTCTGTCACGTTACTGAGCATTCTTGCCTCAGTTTCCCTACTTGTAAAAATGGGGTGAAATGGAGTGGTCTCTGGTCCAGGCCCCTCCTGCCTCGCCTGCCACAGTCCTCCTCTCCTCTGAGAAGCGACACCACTCTGGAGACCCAGCCCCGTGATCAGGGAGACCTCCTCTGCTTCCCCAGTACGCAGAGCTGTTTGCTTCTGAGAATGCCGAGACGAGAAGCCTCTTGCTGACTTTTGACAAGAGCAAGCTGTGTCTGAAGGTGTCGGGCCCGACATGCTCAGCCTGATGGAGCTTCAAGCTTCCACGCACCATGGGGGACGTCAGTCACGGTGACGCCTCCGTTGACGTCCACCTGGTTCACTCAGCCCTACACCTGCCAACAAAGCAGCGGCTCATCCGCCGCCCCCCTACACCACCAGCCTGAGGCCCCGCCACCGTGGCGTGAGGGGAGAGAAGGGATGGGACCCAAGGCCACCGGCAGCAGGGCTCCCAGATTCCCAAAGTGCGGCCTTCCCCGGCCGTTCCGCCCGAGCGGTGGGCATGGCCTTGTCTCAGCTGATCCCAGACACCCGTCATATCCCGATCCCCAATCCATCAGTAATCAGACGACAGGCTATGACACAGTAGAACAGCCTGCTGGTTTAAGTACAAAGCTGCCCAAAAGTTGAGCCGGCCACAGCGACCAAAAACACACCCAGTGGCTAATCGACGGACTCTTCATTGAGCTCCCCAAATGAGGCTGAAGCATGGGGGGTGGGGGTGGAGGGCATGGAGAGGGGAGAAAGGAAAGGGGGGGAGAGAGAGAGAGAGAGAGAATGAGAAGGAGGAGAGGGGAAAGGGAAGAGAGAATGAGGAGGGGAGTAGGGAAAAGAGAGAATGAAAGAACAAGAGAGAGATTGAGGAGCGGAAGAGGAGAAAGAGAACAAAACAGAGAACAAGAGAGAGAGAAAGAAAAGGGAGAATGAGAGAGAGACAGAGAGAGAGCTTGCCAGGAGCACACAAGCTCAGGCATGGCCACTATTTTCCCCATCACTGATTCCCTCTGGATGGAGCAGCTAAGGCTGTGGAAGATTCTGCTGCCTCTCAATTGCCCCCCAGCTGGCTAGAATACAGGTGCCTGAGGGAGCTTGGCCAGGGGGATTTCTGTGCTGTCTCCCACCTGTCCTCGGGCCCTCCGGGCACAGGTCCTCTCAGCCTCACCTGGGCACAGCCTCTCCCCAATCCCACGCTCTGCCATTTGATTCAGTCCCTACTGAGCTTGTGCAGACAGGTGCCGAGCCCTGAGGTCTCCCTGAGAACAGTGGCCCTGCCGAGCACTGGCCTGGGGCCCCATCCTAGGCCAGTCACTTGTTTCAGTCACTTTGGCTTGGCTCCTTACCTCTCAAATGGGGCTAAAAACCCCAGGCCTGCTTGGAAAATCCAATGAGGTGAAGGGGGAAGAGTCTATACAGCACGCCCCAGGACATAAGGGACTGGCAGTGTTGCTAAAGGCAGGGCTTTGGGGAAGAGGCGCTAGGAAAGGCTGCTGGAATACTACCTGCAGCCAAAGGAAAGTGGGTCTTCTCTCCCCAGCACGAGACAGCGTGATGTAGTGTAAAGAGGACTAGTCTGACAGACTGGGGCTGTCTAACTCTGGCTCTGCCCCTTGGCTAAACTTAGGCAAGTTAACCAATCTTCTATTACCTCAGTTTTCCTATCTGGAAAGAGTGAACTAAATGATCTCCAAGGCCCCTCCCAGCCCTGCCATCCCCTGTTCCGAGGCCCCTCCCAGCCCTGCCATCCCCTGTTCCAAGGCCTCTCCCAGCTGTGACAGTCTATCCTTCTAAGACACTGAAACAGTCCATCACCTAAGCTGGGCACCCTTCTACTCAAGCCCCAAAACCAGCTCCTAGCTGAAGAACCAGGTTCCCAGCAGCCCTTACTCCAATGAGTTCAACAAAAACTGTTCATTCTCAAGCAGTTCCTCTTCAGAATCAAGGAGCACTTTCCTTCCTGAATTCTCCTCCTCCCCTAGGAAGATAATCTGGAAGTTTAAAATACTAATCCGCATCCCAATTCATTTTTCTGGAGGACAAATGAGAATAGCAAGAAATAGTAAGCCAAAAAGGACCCTGCCCCCCACTGGGTGCCCACTTCCCCTCTAATGATGCCAGCTGGGTGGCACAGCTCCCTCTGAAGGGCCCGTCTGTCCTAGCCCCTGACATACACCAGCTGCCTAATAGCTTTTCAATGAAGCTCTGGTGGCTGATGGACCCCCAAGACAGGAGAAAAGAGCTTACTTCCAACACCACGTAATGCTCGGGGGCCGGGGCCACCGCCATCACACCCAGCACGCGCTCACACTCCTGGGAAATAGCATTGATTGAAGCCAGCAATGGGTTCATTATCTCTGGGAACTGGAAGGGAAAGAAGGAGCCAGGAGGTCGCAGACAACTATGGGGTAGGAGGAGCCACGCGGGCCAATGCCTGGTCACCCTCTCCATCCCGCACAGGTCGGTTTGACAACGTCAGGTTAGACGCTGCCTAGACCTGCCCCCACCTGTCCCCATCCCAACTCTTCAGAGGTCTAGGGACCTCCTCTGCTCAGATGGCACTCACACGACTCAGGACACGGGTCTCTGCTTTCTAGAAGTCGTGGACAATGGACCGAACACCTCTTCTGTTCACCTCCTCACCCCGACCCCAAGAGTAGACTGTATAGTGCCTCCTCCACACCCCCCAGCACTGCTGGAGGGAGGACAGAGAAGGAGGCATCTCAGCTCAAAAGGAGCCGTTTCCTTTCCAGTGCCAAGAAAAACAAAGACCACAAAGTATAAGATATAAAGTGAACAAATATAAATACAGAGTAGTTTGGGAGGGAAAGCACTAGCGGTCTGGAGGGTGAGAAGCAGAGGAGAGAGGGTGCACGGCAGGTGGGCCAGCCAAGGCCACATGTGAAGAACACAGACCAAGCAAACGAGTGGCTGGGAAGCCAAGCCCCGGGCTCACTGGGACTGCTGAGAAGTCTTAGCCATGCAACTTAATCCTCCTGTGCCTCAGTTTCCCTGCTCAAGTGGCCAGCTGGCCAGCAGCTCCTCAAACGTGGGCCTCCTGCTTTTGCACAGGCCCCGCCCTCCCTCCCATCACGTGGAATCCTTAACCCTTCGAGGCTCATCTTCAGGGCCTCCTCCCACCAAGTCTTTCTCGATCCCCTCCCTTCTCAATGTACCATGTACATCCTCATCAGCCTAACTGGAAGCACCAGGAGGGCGTGGAGTGTTTTTGGTTTTGTACATATATCCCCAGCACCCAGCCCTGGGCCTGGCACCCAGAATCTGGTGGACTCGATGGGACTCACACATGGCTACATGGGGAGACTGGAAGGAGAGAAGTGGACAACGATCACAATGAGGTGGGGAGGCGGTCAGTCCTTGGCTTCATTCTCACCATTTCTCTGGGGCCCAGGTTTGCCCCCCACCCCCCCACCCAAAACCCAAGAGAACACACCTTTACCAGCTTGTCTTTGACACCAGCCACCAGGGCCTTGGTGCTGCGGGGCACCTTGGTGTTGGTCAGGAGAATTCTCAAGACCGGTATCCTGGGGTGGGGGAGAGACAAAACCTCTTAGGCCTTCTCCCCAACACTCCTTTTGTCCAAGACCAGTTCAAACTGGGACTCTCAACTAGGTTTTCTGGCTTGTCTTCCTGTGCAGCCAAATTAATTGACCCTGATGTACAACCGAAAAGTATAGCCAAGCAGTAGAGAATGCAGTTTAATTGGATAAATGCTGAATTGCCTCTAGGACAAACTACACCCTCCTTGGCCTAGAATTTAGAGCCCTTCACTCTCTGGCTTCAACCTACTTTTGCAGCTTCATTTCCTATTATTATCCTTAATGAAGTGGCGGGAACCGAACTGGCCAATTCGCGGTTCCCAAATCAAAGTCACTGCCCGCCTCAGGCACACTCCGTCCCCTCCATCGGCACCGGCCACCACCCCACCTGACCCAGACCTCCCCCGCTGCTGACAAGCTGCTTCTGCCTTCTCCTCCAGGGGCTTGTGGACCTAACCTAGCCTCGGACACCGTCCAGCCCGTCCCCCTCAAGTGACAGGTGAAGAAACTGAGGTGCAAGGAAGGAGGGAGGCGCCTCGGCCCAGGTCACGGAGACTGGATTTGGGCCTGAGCTCTCTGCTTCTGAAGGCAATGCTTTTCTCACTGTATTACCCTGCCTGTGTGTGCACTGTAGGCCCTCACTAGAACGTGAGGGCTCTGAGGGCAGAAACTCCTCTCCCTTTGTCCTTGGGCCCTCCCCATGCTGGGAGGGGGCTTACTTATTCATTTCAGATTTGATCCACTTGGGACTGTCCCATTGGACCCTGAGCACAATCAATCAATCAATCAATCAATATTTACTAAGTGCCCGCTACGTGCCAGGCACTATGCTAAGATCCGGGCATACAAAAAAGGCAAACAACTCTCCCTGCCTACAAGGAGCTTACAATCTAACAGGGGAGAAAATAAGTATACAAATACATACAAGATGAGCTATATACCAGATAAAAAAGGAATTGGGGGGGCATTATGAAGAGGAATGGGGAAGGCTCCCTGTAGAGGTGGGATTTGAGTTAGGCCTTAAAGGAAGCCAGCGAAGGAGCAGCTAGGTAGCGCAGTGGATAGAGCACGGGCCCTGAAGTCAGGAGGACCCGAGTTCAAATCCGGCCTCAGACCAAACATGACACTTACTAGCTGTGTGACCCTGGGCAAGTCACTTAATCCCAATTGCCTAAAAAAGGAAGCCAGTGAGGTCAGGAGGGAGAGTGTTCCAGGCCTGGGGGGCAGCCAGAGGGAGTGCCCAGAGCACCGAGATGGTAGATCTTGCTGGCAGAACAGCCAGGAGACCAGTGTCACTGGATAGAAGGGGTCGTGTTGGGAAGTAAAGTCTAAGAAGACTGGAAAGGTAGAAGGGGGCTGGGTGACAAAGGGCTTTGTGGAGGCCACAGGGAGCCCTTGGAGTTTACTGAGTAAGTCAGATCTGTGCTTCAGGAAGATCCCTTTGGTGGCAGATCCTGCCTCACTTCCCTGGCAGCTACTGCAGATGTCCAGGTGGGAGGTGATGAAGGCCTGCGCCAAGGTGGGGGCTATGTCCAAGGACAAAAGGGAGCGTAGGTGAGAGATGCTTCAGAGGTGAAACTGATGAGATGCTGTAGAGGTGAAACTGACGGGCCTTGGCGCCACCCTGGATGTGGGGGGCGAGAGAGAGCAAGGAGTCCAGGCTGACTCCTAGGCTGTGAGCCTGACAACCTGAGAGGATGGCGGTGCCCTAGACAGTCACAGAGAAGGCAGGAGGGGGAAGGGGGGAGGGGGAGAAATGGCAGCCCTGAACTTGTGGAAAGTTCCGCCACCAAGGCAGACAGTCAAGAAGCATTTATTAAACGCCTACTAGGTGCCTTACATTGTGCTAAGGGTTGGGGATATAAAGAAAGGCAAAAAACCCATCTGTGCCCTCAAGGAGCTCAGTCTAATGGGAAAGATAACGTGCAAAACAGTCGCGTACAAACAAGATCTATGCAGGAAAACTTCAAGATGATCAACAGATCAAAGACCCTAGGATTACGGGGGAATTGGAAAAGGCTTCTGGTACAGCAGAGGCTCCAAACACGACCTGAAGCCCTAAACAGATCAGCACAGAATTGGGAAATAAATACTTAACAAACTAGATGAAAAAACAGACAATATTACATTTTTAAACTAAGCCAACATACAGCCTGCAGGGACCTTCAGGTGTGGACTGGTGTCTCCTGTATCTAGGGGCCTCGGACAGCACTGCTCTAGAAGGCAGGCTGCTGCTGGGCCTTGAAAGAAGCCAGGGAAGCCAGGCAGATGAAAGGGAGCACATTCCAGGCACAGTGATAACCAGTGGAAAGGTAGGAGGGGATAAGGGTAGGGAATCCAAACCTGGATTCAGTCACAGGGTCACACTTGAGGACCTAGAGGGCCACACGTGGCCTCGAGGCTGCAGGCTCCTCACCCTCAGGCTAGGTCCTGAAGGTCTCTGAATGCCAAACAGAGCATTTCATATTTGATTCTGCAGGCAACAGGGAGCCACTGAAGTTTATCGAATAATGGGATTATTCAACCCTGTACTTTAAGAAGATTAATTTGACAGCTAATTGGAGGGTGGATTGGAGTGGGGAGACACCTAAGGCAGGAAGACCCTCCAGCAGCTACTGTGATAGTCCAGGGGTGAGATAAGGGTCTGCACCAAGGCGAGGGCGGTGTCAGAGTTGAGAAAAGGAGGTGTATTTGAGAGATGTTAAGAAGGCAAAATTGACAGGCCTTGAAACAGATTGGATATGGGTGGGGAAGAGTAAAGAGTTGAGGATGACATCTAGGTTGTGAGCATTGGTATTATCCTTCACAATAACAGAGAAGGTCAGAATGGGAGGAAGTTTGGAGGAAAGAGGAAATCAGTTCTGAACACGCCGAGTTTGGGACATCTGTGGGACATCCAGTCTGAGACGTCCAATGGGCAGCTGGAGGTCAGGAGAGAGGTCAGGGCTGGAAAAGCAGCACAGAGATGAGAACTGAATCCAGGGGAGCTGATGAAATCACCCAGTGAAAAGGTATAGAGGAAGAAGAGGGCCCAGGACAGAGCCCTAAGGGACACCCTCAATGGATGAACTGGGAAGAAGCAGTCCCACAGACAGGAAAACCAGGGGAAAGCGGTGTCATAAAAGCCTAGAGAGCAGAGCGCATCAAGGAGAAGCGGGTGACTGAGTGTTAAAGGCTACAGATGCCAAAGAGGATGAGGACCGAAAAGAGGCCGCTAGATTTGGCCATTAAGAGATCACTGGTAACTGAAGAGAGTGGTCTCTGTTGAATGAGGACGTTGGCGGCCACAGCTTAGAGCGGAGGCGTCAAATTCACAGGTGTCACCCAGCATCTGGTACCTAGCACCCAGCAGAACCCCAAGTGTAGCCAACCAGGTTAACGTGTAGTTGGGAAATATCTAACAAAATAAATATACAATCCAATATAATGTTAATTTGCAGTTTTTGAAGCTAATGTGTGGCCCATAGGGATCCATGCCTATTTGAGTCTGGGACTTCTGCCGTAGATAATAAAAGAGAGAGGAGAGAGGGGAGAGGGAGTCGAGGTACTCACAGTGGACAGTCTTCACAAGTTTGCAACAAAGGGGAGAAAAGTAATGGGACTGGCAGGGATGGACCGATCCAGTGAAGGGTTTTGGAGGATAAGGAGACACGGGCATGTTGGCCGGCAACAGGGAAGCAGCCAGGACAGGGAAGTGAGAGGTTGGGGCGATGGAGAGGCAGTCCGCTCAAGAAGAAGGGGTGGAATGGGATCGCCTCAAGTGGGTAGGGCTGAAGGAAGAGATGGCAGCAGGAGGAGGCATCTGGGCAATGGGAGAGATATGGAGGTGAGGAGAAGGGAGCTCTCTGAGAAGGCCTTCGACCTCAGTGAAACAGGAGGCGAGGGTCTGGGCTGAGAGGTCACGGGAGGCGGAGGTCCGGGGAGGGATGGCAACGTTTGGAAGAGCCGCCGAGGACAGAGGGAGAAGTGCACAAGGATGGTCTTGCCACTATGAGAGCAGTTACGGTTGGGTCAGATAAATCGGGGGTGGACCCCCACAGCACAGCCCCAAAAGGAGCCAAAGCAGCAGTTGGTGAGAATCAGCCATGGCTAAGACCCAGCGGGACAGAAATGGCCACACAGAGCTGAACTGATTCACCAAGGGGTCAAGAGGGGGAACAGGGGAGAGTGTGGCCGTGCAGGGCCTGGAGGTCACAGGGTGGAGATCAGATAAAGAAATCCCAGAGGCTGTGAACTCTGGGCACCTACGGATGACGCCAAGATCAAAGGTGGGGCAGAGGAGCAGGTCATGGGGAGTTGGGGTGTTTTGGGGGTGTCCCCTAGTATGAGGGCAGATGAGGAGGAGAAAAAAGACCGCAAGCCAGGAATTTGGTGGAGGAGCATCCCACAGGTGTGCGGACAGGGAGTGAGCGAACCTTCCAGGAAAAGAGGTGCTGGGGGCAGCAGTGGCAGTAACGGGTGTCCCAACGCCCCCAAATCACCCAGTGCTGGTCGATTCATCTGTAATTTATAATCTTAGAGAGCTGCCCTAGATCATATAGCCAAGACGGGTAGGAGGCAGGACTTGAACCCAGGTCCTCCCAGGGCTACGAACTATAACCACACGGTCCTTCCTAGGGACGTGCCCCCAGCTTCCCTCCAGACTAGGCGCGGCCCAATTAGGACAGAAGCCTTCACCCTTTCCTATTATTGGATAGTATACTGCTTGATGTGGTTTTGCTTTTGGGGGGGGGGCTAGGCAATGGGGTTAAGTGACTTGCCCAGGGTCACACAGCTAGTAAGTGTCAAGCGTCTGAGGCCGCATTTGAACTCAGGTCCTCCTGACTCCAGGGCCGGAGCTCTATCCGCTGCTCCACCCAGCCGCCCCTTATACTGCTCAATGTGAACTGAGGCTGCATTTGCTTTGTCAGCTGCTGCATCCCACCACCAACTCCTACTGAGCTTGCAGTCCACTAAAACCCCCAGATCTTTTTCAGAAGACTGCTACCCAGCTTCTCCTCTCCAATCCAGTACTTGGGAATTGTAAAGTAAATCTCATGAAATTTAGCCCAGTCCTGGGGCCTACTGGGTTCTTCCCAGGGATGGGGGTGACCTGTGAGGCTGCTGAGAGGAGACAGGAACAGGCTGAGGTCTGGTGTGACTGTGAAGGCAGGGAGGTGGGGGCCAGAGGCAGAGCCTTGAACCCCAGGCCAAACACGACCCATGGAAGGCTCTGGGCAGGTGAGGGGCACGGCCAGCCCAGCACGTTAGAAAGATGGTTCAGCGGCTACCTCAAGGGTGGACGGGGAGGTGACGAGCTCTGGGACGACCAGCCCCGCCGCACGTGCTGGGACCCCTCCTCAGCCCGATATAATATCAGCGCTGGTCCCCCCCACCCCTACCCCATCCCCTGCCTCCCACCTCTCCACAATCACCCTGACTTTACCTCTGTAAAGACAAAATGTTCCCTGCTTGGAATCGAAGGGCTCCGCCTAGGGAGGGGAACAAGAAAATAGACACCACTATCTATACAGTCTACAATCTAGATCTCAGGAGGCAAGTTTAATGTTGGGACAAAGGCCATGGGGATTGGCTCTTCTCTGACACAGGAAAGGTCCCAGCAAAGAAACCTGGTTTGTCTTCATCTTGGCTCCAAAATCCCCCAGGGCCAGGCCAAGAAAGGACCTGAGTGAGTTACAGAAGGAACTTCTATCCAGGAGTCAGGCTAAGTACCTACAAGTCCCCATTCTCACATCAGGCCTGGATTCATTCGGCTGGGGGCCCCAGCCTCCCAGCTGACTCAGTATTCCAAGGACCCGCCGCGTGGCCAGGCTGCCTGTTCCGCTCCGACACACAGTATTCTCTCTGTAAACAGAGCTGCTGTAGCCAAGACTGTCATCACCCAGAGCCAACAAGGGGGAGAGACTTCTCTGCATGCGGCTGGGCTGGTCCCCAGATCACAAACCATCCCTCAGGGCCATCCTCGAAGCCCTTCCATGCTGGGAAGACTTGACAGGGTTGGCCTGAGGAGACTATTACTTCCATGCAGCAGAGGAGGGGAAAGCAAGTCTTGCACCCTCTGCAGGCAGGGCTCTCTGCAGACTCTGGGGCACTCAGACCCGGATCCACTCTACCCTCCCTTCCCAGCCCCCCCCCCATACCCCACCCACCTCTCACCAGCAAGCATTAACACCGGATGCACTTCCCAAGTGCTGCATGGGATGCATTAGAGATTTTCTCCCTAAACAGGGAGGTTTCACTGGCCCTCGTTCTGAACAATCTAACCTGAAACTGAACTCCATAGCAAGGAGGAAGAAAAAGAACATACCCCAAGTGCTGATAGAGTTATCCACACCAGACGGGTTCCCATGAATGACCTTCTCTCCCAGAAAGGCCCACCTGTTAATCAACTTCAGCTCCTCCTCGGTCCACCTGACAAAACAAAGGGGCAAACTGCCATCACCACTGCCAGTGACTCACAAGAGGGCTGGACGGCCCTCATTCCCTCTTCTGACAACATCAGGGGAATCAGGTGGATGTGGAAACACCAAGCACTTCTTGATATCCCTGTGGACCCGATGGCTGAGGCCACAAAGGGCTGGGAAAGAGGGTTTGGTATCGGCTGAAAGACAGGACTCGGGGAAAAGTCATCAATGGGTCTCCTCAGAAGGAAGTCTCTAGTAGAGGACTGGAAGTGTGGGGATACTTGGCTCTGGGCAGCTTAACATTTATCACCAATAACTAGGATGAAGACACCAAAACCGCCTGTCCAATCCACAGAAGACAGGAAGCGAGGAGAGGTGGCCAACATGTTAGATGACGGTATAAGCCAAAGAGACCTTGACAGGTTAGAACAATGGGCTACATCTGATAAGATGAAACAGAGCAGGGATAAATGTTAAGTCCTTCAACAAGGGTTCAAATAGTCAACCTCACAAACACAAAAGGGCGGAGGTATAGCTAGGTGACCCAAAAGCAGAGCCATAGAATCTCAGGAGTTGAGTGACCTCAGAAGCCGTCCTGTCCAACCCATACCCATCCAAGAATCCTTTCCATCACATTCCCTAACATGTGGCCAGGCAGCCCTCCCCAAAGTTCTCTAGAGAGAGGAAACCAAGGGAGCCAGCACAGTACAGGAGAGAGGGTACTGACCATGGGGGCAAGCTTCATACCTTCTCTGTAGTCTAAGTTTCCTCATCTATAAAAAAAGATGATGGACAACCTCTATGGTCCCTTTCAGATCTAGAGCTACAATTCTGCCTACCAAGGCAACCCATTCTGTTTCTGGACAATTTGCCTCTCAGTAACTCCCACTTACAGTCTGCCCTCTTGGTTCAAGTCAACCAAGTAAGTCAGACCCCTTTTGCATGAGTGGCAGGCTTTCAAATATTCAAAGACTCAAGCTACCAGTGGGTCAGTCAAGTGGTATGACAATAAGATGGGGGAATTTGTCTTGAAAGTTGGAAGGGATCAGAGAAACCAACCAGAACCAACCTTTCTAGACCCCTTTGGTATGGACCCCTTTGGCATCATCCTGCTCAGAATCACAGTTTTAAATAACTGAGGGAAATGCTAAATTTCAGTTAGAAACCAGTAAAAATAAAGATATGATTTTTTTTTCCCATCCAAGTTCACAGACCCCAGGTGATAAACCCCTGATCTAGATAAACCCCAATCCTCTCATTTTATAAAGGAAACCCAGAGAAGTTAAGAGAGTTGACCAATATCACAAAAGCAGGAGGCTGGAGGCCCTCAGACTCTTTCCAGGAGACCAGACAATATGGTAGAGTAGAAAGACCACTAGATACAGAGTCTGAAGATCTGGGGCCCAGCCTTAAGTCTGGCATGACGTGCTGTGGGATTGTGGGCAAGTCATTTCCCCTTTGAGGGAGTTGCTTTTGACCTCTGTCAAAGAAATGGGTTGGCCTTAGACACCTCTGAAGAGCCTTCCATCTCTGCTGCTATATAACCTCCAGGAAAAAAAAGAGAGAATCATTAAAAGCAGTAAGACTGAGGAATACAGAATGAAGAGTTACACGCAGGAGGCAAATGGATGTTACTGATGCACTTAGAGCCAAAAAATCTGAGAGCTGGAAAACCTTCTGCTGTATACTCCTCCACTAAACAGAGGCTCCTCAGCCTGCCCTCTGGAGACCACCTCCCAGGAGTATTTCCTGGCCTCCAAGCCAGAGAGGATCTTTGGGGCCAACCAGATCAATCCCCTCTTTAGGAGCTGAGACCAAAGCCTTGGGAAGGAAGGGGGATCACCATGGGCCAGGCAGCACCCACCCGTAACAGGCAGTTCGGCCAACACTGGGAGCCAGGGTCTCTGACTGCTGACACCCTGCTGAATACTGACAACAGCTGGAAGGACTTTCCCAAAGGCCCCACAGTGAGTCAAAGACAGAATCTGCCTCACATTCCAAGTGGCCAAAGCTTGGGTGCTTGCTCTCACCCCAAATGACTAACAGTGATTCCAAGGAGATGCAATGCATCCCTTTGTACACTTTCTCTTTTCTTTTAGCTGGTCCCCTGGCAGGCAGGCAGCAGAGCCTAGCTAAAAAAGAGTCAGGACCCTCCTGGAACATCTCCTCGGGCCATACATGTAACCTTCTATTCCACAGATACCATTTACTTACTAAAAATCCTCACAATTTGCTTTGGCTCCAATGGAATGGACCGGGCTCTGCACTGGGAGACAAAGCCTACACCACTTCTGGCTGTGGATATCCACAGAACCATCAACTATTCCAGGGGAAGAGGCCTTGTGATCAAAACCAAAGAATAGGAGAACACAGAGTGTTCAACCGACGGCCCCTTAACACTGAAGGTCTTTAATCGTGAAGAGCGCAATGTCAGGGCTGGAAGAGACTTTACAAGCAGGAATGTTAGACTAGGACAGTAGCTCCGGGTGGGGACTCGGAGGTTATCTCACCCAGTACCTTCATTTTAAGGGTGAAGAAACTAAGGGCCAGAGGTCCAGAACCTCACCTAAAATTATGGAGCTTGTTAATACTATAGGGAACCAGAGAAAAACTCCAGAAAACGGGATTGCTCAACCCCAGGTGCAGCTCTGCACCATCTGCTGTCTTCCCCTCCACATTCCTCTCTTCCACACGAGAGCTCACACAAAAGATCCAGTCAAAGCAATTCTGGGCAATGTCGACAGAAATATTAATACCAACAGCTCTGGCATCAGCGGCAGGCTACATAGATCAAAGCTCCCTTTGGCAAAAGGCGTCGGGGTTTGACAGCATTTTCATCTCAGAACAGGAATTCCAGGATACAACAAACACTAAATGGCCCATTTTTATGGGTGTCACAGCATCACACACGAAAGGAAGCCAGGAAACAGAAGAGTGTAAGACTCCCAGAACAAGCGGAACAGCAACAGATGTAAAATGAAATCAGCCAGGAACACAAGCCCCTCTGAATGCAATCGCCTGTGCTCTGGGCGCCTGGCAGGAGGGCATTCTTAACATCACACTATTCTTGGAGCAGGGTGTAGCAAATAGCCAGTTTTTTCTATCGTATAAAATAACCAAATTCCAGAAGAATTCCCTCCAGATGGAGAGGTTCTCCAGAGTATCGTCTTTGCAGATAACATCATGCTAAATGCAGCACGTCCAGGGACTCCTCAATGAGATTTATAATCACACAAAAGTTTGGCCTGACAATTCACACAAGACAAAGCAAGTGGATGAAGACTGTCTTTTGTCCAGATCAGGACGTGCAGATGCACGGACACTCTCCTGGACAGGCACTGCAGAGATGAGAGACGGGGACCAAAGATGAACAAGGCAAGAGCAGGCTGACCTGCCTTCAAAAACCATGTGGCGCTTTGACTTCTTCCAGAAACAATCCTCCCCATGATGCCACAGGGCATCTGTGAGCCAAAGAGTACCAAAGAATGAAAGGGAGAAGGCACCCAGAGGACAGTGGAGATGTACACAGAGGGCGCGGGCAGGCTACCGACCCAAGAGCCAAAGAACCGGAGAGCAGCTGGAAGGAGATCATCATCTGATCAACGTACAAGTGGCGAAAGGTCAATGGCCAAGCCCGCATGGGCGCTCCCGTCGCATCTGGCAACGTGGAGGCCCTCAGGCACCAGCCAGCCCTGTGGCTGACCTTACGAGAGATGGGAAGGCATAAATGGGCTGTGAGTGGCCCCCAGGGAGGACCATCCCTGGTGATGCCCCAGGCCCATCCAAATCACACAAAACAGAACCAGGAGCTGCCACCCTGCCGGGGGCAGTCGATGCCACAGCTGACACCAAGCACGCTCAGCCCTGGGGCCCTTGGCCCAGGACTCGTGTAAGGCAGAGTGCTTGGTATAGCCCAAGGACTCCTATGGGGGAGGCAGCAGAGCCAGGTTCCACGTCCCCTCCTCTCACTGGTGTAAAATCAGGCGGCTAGCCTAGCTGCTCCCTCGGTCCCTTCCACATTGCACGTTCTATGGTTTGGTTCAGTGATGACCATTCCACACTGGCCGGGCTTGGCACAGCATCCTAAGGAACCTGATGGAAAAGCATGTGATGCACGCTGCGTCCTGTGGGCCTCACAGCCCCGAGGCAGGTGAGCAAACAAAGGGTCAGAGGGGTGCCCTGTCCAGGGTTGTCTGCACCTGAGGAGGGACCTGAACCAGGCCAGGCTCCCTCCCAGGGACCCCCCACACCCCGGACTCACAAACAGCACCAGCCTCGAGGTGCAGAGAGTGAGCGGAGGGAAGGGGAGGGAGCCAGATGAGGGCAGACTACACGTGTGAAATGTTTTCTATGTCAAAGGCCGTGTGTGTAAGCTCATTTCAGCTCCACAAACACCCTGGGAGGCGGGCAGCTCACGTCCTTATGATGCCCACGTTACAGAAGAGGCGGTCTGCAGCCACGCTGTAAACGGCTTTAAATGCCCCACGGAGGAGTCTGTCCTGGATCTAGAGGTGACAGGGTCCTGCTAGAGACTGCTGAGCAGGGGAGCAATGTGGCTAGACCTGTGCTTTAGGAAGATCACCCTCCAGCAGCTGTGGGGAAGAAGGCCTGCAAAAAGTCTCAACTCAGGGGAGAGTCACATGGGTGCAGAGAGGGCAGTGGACACCAGAGAGCCTGTGGAGGCCGAATGGCCAAGACCTGGAGACAGAAGGGGTGCAGGGGGAGCCCAAGGCTGCAGTGGAACATCCCCTCTGGGCCCCATGGAGCCTGCGGGCCTTGGAGCCCAACAGGAAGGGGAAGGGGATGGGGGAGCCAGGAGCCCAGCAGAGCCGAGAGGGCTGGTTTTCAGAGGCCACTCCCAGCCTCTTTCTACTTCTAACACTCTGGGCCTCCCCAGGACCCCTGAGCCGAGTTACCGGCCACTGGCGGCACCTTCCCTCAGGTGACCCGTGATCTCTTCACAGGAGGCCAGCAGGGCAGCTGCCAAGCAGACCGAGTAGGCAGCGCTGGAGCCAAGGCCCGCCCCGGTGGGCAGCTCAGACCACACCACGATGTCCATGCTGGGCAGAGGTCTGAAACAGAAAGACGTGACCCACTCAGGGGAGCTCTCCAGATCATCCTTCCATCTGGGCAGCCAGGAAGCCAACCCCAGCACCTGGAGCTGACCGCCGAGATCTGGCCACGGCAACCACCAGCGCTGGGCTGGCAGACCACTGTGCACCACCGCCCTTCCCTGGCCCTGATCTGCACCACCACAGATCCTAGCAATCAGCAAGTCAGTCAACAAACATTCATTAAGGGCTCGCTCACTGTGTGCCAGGCCCTGGGCTAAGCTCTAGGGATACAAAGAAAGGCAAAGGGACCACAGTCCCTGCCCTCCAGGAGCTTAGGGTCTAACGCCAGGGAAGCCAAGATGCTACCACTCTGTCCATCCAAGCTCCGCATAGAAGGCGATCTCAGTAGGGACGGCCCTGGGGCAGAGGGGAAGACGCTTCCCACAGAAGGTGGGGTTTGAACTGGATCTGGAAGGAGGCAGGGAAGCTGAGAAGCAATGACGGCGGAAAGGCCGCGCAGCAGAAGACAGACCTACCTCTGCTTCCTGCAAATAAATAAGTACAAATAGAGGAAGGCCAGCAGGGCCAGGCATTCACTGTCGGCGGAGCCCGTCATGAAGCCCACAAACACCTTCAGCTTTTCCACTTGCTCTGGCGTCGGAGCTGTGGGTTCCCCGGAGTCTGTCAACAGAACAAAAGAGCCAAGACGAATGAGGGGGCCTTCCGGGCCACCAACCCCTAAGCCAAAACACACACAGATCGACTAACAGACAGAATGCATATCCAAGCTGAGGGCCTGCAAAGTGCTTTACAGACACCATCTCCTTTGAGTGCGGGAGGTGCCATTCTACTGATGAGGAAACTGAGGCAAACAAGGTTAAGTGACTCGTCCAGGGTCCCACAGCTACTGAGTGTCTGAGGCAGGATTTGAACTCAGATCTTCCTGACTCCAGGCCCACTGCTCTATCCGTTGCTCTAGAATAGGGGTCAGCAGGCCAAATTCAACCAAATCCACCTCCTGTTTCTGGATGGCCTACAAGCTAACGATTCCTAGTTCGTGAGCTCTAGCCCTCAGGCAGCAGGCCAGAACTGGTTCAATGGGCCACAGTTCAACCCTTGTTCTAGGATCTTAGCTGTGTGACTCTGGGCAAACCCCTTGCCTCTCAGGGCCCAGGCAAGGCTTGTGAGTCCACAAGCTGCAGAACAGACGCTGACCTGTGTTGGCAGAGGCAGTTTTCTCCCTGGGAGCCTACTAAGGCCAATGAAATCACAGGTCAGACTAAAAGAAAAAAAAAGGTTCTCCACACGTGTAACTTCCCACTCCGGAAACATTTCTCACACAATGTACAAGAGCGATGCAAAAATTAAACAACGAATCTGTCCTGGCAGTGCTCAGCTTACCATGGAGGCCACATCTGGTTGTCCATCTCACACACTCAGGGAGCCACTCACTGGCGGCTAAGAAGCATGCCCAGATCAGGTGAGTTCATTCATACGAGCCAGATCATTGGGGGCGATTTAATTGGCTCTTGAGTGACGTGACTGTGACAGGTCTGGGCACAGGCAGGCCTGCATCTGCAGGGCAGGTGTACAAGACTGTGTTGCTGTGCGCCTGTCCCGGCTGCCACTGCAGCGCACCCAGTGACCCGACAATCTCACATTCAGGCACCATCTGACTGAAGGCTCAGGTCAGTCAGTCAACTGAGGGCCCGCCCTGCCCAGAGCCTCCACTTGCTCTGGGGGAGGTAGGAAGGGGAAAAAGGGCACAAAAGGAGCTCAATGTCCCCCCTTATCTCTGCCTATGCCATTTTTCTCTTCCCTTAAGGGCCAGGTCAAGCACCAGGCCTTCCCTTGACCCAACTCAGCCCCCGACTGCTCCTTGCTCATACACATTCTAATCATGATTTCTTTGAGACCAAGGACTGTGTCACTTTCGTCATTACATCTGTAGTAAGCAACACACTTTCACCAACCAATCATTCGACACGCATTGAGTAAGCACCTACTATGTGCCAGGCACTGTGCTAGGGCTAGAGACAATTACAGAAAATGAAACCACCCTTACTCACAAGGGGCTTACATTCTAATAGGAGAGGCAAGTACATATAAAAACACATATTGCAGAAATATCAAGAGAATAAATGTTTTTTTCATGTAGTAGGTACTCAAAATGTTTATTGACAATGGCCAATATATCCGTGCTGAAGGCGAAACAAAGATGTCAAGGCGCAGTCTCTTTCCTCCGGGAGGGTCTTTTCTGAATAAAGGAACTGCAATCTACAGGAATATGCTGAAGAGCTGTCTTCACGACAGATTGTCTGGCCCAGCGGCCAAAAGACTGACACTGAAGCCAGGAAGCCCTGGCTTCTAATCCCACCTGGATGTAACCTGGTTGTGTGACCCTGCCCCCGTTGACCTCTCGTGGCCCCAGCTGACCTCTCCTGGCTCCAGCTGACCTCTCGTGGCCCCAGCTGACCTCTCCCGGCCCCAGCTGACCTCTCGTGGCCCCAGCTGACCTCTCGTGGCCCCAGCTGACCTCCCCCGGCCCCAGGTGGCGCTCTTCAGCCCCAAGATCTGCATTGGCAAGGGTGCGCCATCAGCCCAGAATTCAGTGAACCCTCAGTCCAGCCCCCAGCCTTAAACTCAAGTGAGGAACAGAGCAGAAGAGTCAGGGACGAGGGGAAAGTGAACTGCTACAGGGCATCACCAACAGGACAGGGATAGGGAGCTTGGGAACCTGCAGAGGGCAAGGGAGACTTCTATTACCCAACTACTTCCTCAGGCTTGACTTAGGTCAAGAGTTAATGATAATTTCATCTGTCAATAGTCAATCAGCAAACATTTATTAAGCACCTACTATGTGCGGGCATTGTGATTCTTTTTTTTTTTCCAACTAGGCAACGGGGTTAAGTGACTTGCCCAGGGTCACACAGCTAAGTAAGTGTTATGTGTCTGAGGCCAGATTTTAACTCAGGTCCTCCTGACTCCAGGGCCAGTGCTCTATCCACTGCACCACCTAGCTGCCCCATGTGATTCTCAACAATAGGGAAGACGGGGTCCTGAGGTACAGATACCTGGAATTTTGTGGGGAAGTGACCGCTCCACCTTAGAATTTATGACAAAGAAGAAATCCAGGAGGTCTCACAGACCCCCTAGACTTAGGGAAGAGCAGATTTCAAAGGATCCAGAGAAAGGATAGGAAGGATGCCGCAGAGCAAATTCTATAGAGGAATTCAGCTCAAGAGAAACGGGAGGCTTTTAAGGATGAAATTCTGAAGATCAATCCCGATGAGGAAAGAGGGATTTGTTTCCAAAACTGGCCTAGGTGATGCCCAGGAAACTCTCCAACCATGCTGGACGTTTAAAAGACCAGGAGAGAAGACAGAAGGCAGCAAGGCGCTGAAGGAAGGGAGGCAGGGGAGGTAGGAGGAGAGTGCCTCGTGCTCACACATCCCAAACCTACAGAACAGGCCCTGCTCGTTCCAGCTCAGTCACTGACGTAACAAGGGCCAGGCCGAGCATCTGACAGAGCACATGCAGGGGATCGGTGCCACTGACTGTCTCGTTAAGACAACACGCCCTGTGGGAGTGCAACCTCAGCACTCCATACACATCAGTGTTCTAGAGGACATCCTCCCAAGAAGGGGACAGGCCCTCCGGACCAGAAACAGAGAACACAAATGACCACTTCTAGGTAACACCACTATGAACTCCTGGCCATCCAGGCCCTCAGAAGGGATCTGATCTAACCCATAACCAGCTGAAGGGCCCAGGAAGTGGATGACTGGAATTTGCTTGAAGAACTCCTCCCAAAATGGCGCCATGTGCTTTCAGCAGCTCTGATCCCACCTCCAAGCCAATGGCAAACACCCCAGGCAACCTCCCCCAGGGAAGCTCCCCAGGATGAGCAGGCCAGGAGGTGGAGAACCCCCGGACTTCCTTTGGTTAATTACTTTTGGGCAGGCCTGAACTCTAACCCATCTTCATCTTCCTGAAAGCGCAGGCCAAGAGCTACACTGGTATCCTCTGAATATTAAAACCCACAAGGCCCCTCCACAGGACATGAAGACGGAGACAAGGACGGATGGATGGGACGCCCGCACCCACGCTGGCAGAGCAACGGGCCAAAGGGCTGGCAGACCCCCTGAAGGTCCAAGAAGTAGAGCACTTACCTACGAAGGCCTCACGCAGCAGCTGGAGCTTGGAAACGTCCCAGTCCCTCTCCGCCCCTATGTTCGGCAGGCTGAGCCTCACTTTCTCGTCTTTGCGGGGCTTTATCCGCAGGAACGTTCTCAAGTTCAAGGCTTCAGCCAACGCGATCTGTAAAAGCCAAGAGCAACCAAAACAGAAGTCAGCCTGGATCGAGGCGCTCGGGCCCTCCTTCGCATCTGCACCTAGAAGGCACTGAAGTCACTGAAGAATGGCCCAGGAAGAGATGCTCTTGGGGTCTGACAGCTCCAGACAAGAATACTCTGTTCGTTTCTTTAGAGCCTACAGGGAAAGGAGGAGGAAAATGGCCTCATCCCGGAGCCTCCCCTTGGCTCTGCTAGCGGAAATAGCTGGCATCTGTCTTCTGCCTGCCTAGCTGAAGAACAGGCACCCTCTGCTCCCCTGGCAGAGTCTGCTTCCCTCTGCCACCAAATGCTACATTCCAATCACAGATTCCAAGACGGAAGGGCCTTCAAAGGGATCGCGTGACTTTCCAAAGCAGAGGGACTGGCAGACTTGGGATTCAGCCCCAAGATCCCAGAGGGACCAAACGCAGCCCTCTTTCCACCTTTTCTACCTTAACCAACAGTTTATGGCTCTGAGCAGGCTGGACCAGATTTCAACGTCCCCCATCTCCACTTAGAGAATCAACGTTTAGCCTCTCGGAAGAAAAATGCAGTAGAGAGGTGAGGCAGAAGCATCCTGGGGCCGAGTCATTCACCTTGCCATGGACCACGGCATGCTCCCCATGAAGGATGACTTTCCCAGGCGCCGACACCAGCAAAGCTTCGGGCAACATGTTGAGCCTGTATCCTGAAAAGAAAAACAAAGTGGTCCTGAGGGGAGAGAGCCAAGAGACTCTAGGGAACTGAAGAATCATGGACTGCGTCCCTGAGGACAGGGAGTCAGTGCATCAGTAAGCTCTTACCACACACTTATGTGTGCAGGGGACACAGAAAGAGGCGAAGATAGTCTCTGCTCTCAAGGAGCTCCTATTCTAATGGGGAGACAACAGGCAAGCAATGACATTCACCATCTGTAACCTGAGTTTCACAAAAGGGGAAAAGACCTGTAGAAACCTAGGCCTCTACAGAGAAAGAAAGAAGGGGAAGCTAAGGCCCTACTCTGCTGAGGGGCCCCAGCCGCCCGCTTCGTTCCAGAGCTGTCTCTCTGGAGGGCTTCTCCATACCCACTTTCTCTGGCTGCGCCTCTTCACGATTCCCCTTTATTTGTTATCTCGCCACCTTAGCATGTGAGATTCTTGAAAAGCTGAGACTGTCCTGTTTGCCTGCTTTCTGTATCCCCAGCAACTACTGGTGCATACTAAGCATTTAATAAATAGAGGCTTCATCTGTCTATGAATCTTTGACCCTAGAACCCTTGGCTTTCTGTCCCCAGTCCAAGCCTGGATTAAAGGGTCACAGAATTCAGAAACAGCACAGATCCTAGACGTTATCCGAGCCCTTCATTTTGCAGAAGAAATTAAGTCTGAAAGGCCTGGAAAACAGGCTTGATTTGGGAGCCTGAGGACACCCTCTCAATCTAGGTAAAGCTGGGCAAGCCCCTGCTGAGGCCCGTTTCCTCATCTGTAAAATGCAGGAGGGTCACAAGTTCAATCGATAACCCATCAGCAAACGTTCGTGCCATGGCAGGAAGGAGGAGACAAACGACAGAGGAGGGGAAGCTTGCCGGGGCTTACACTCTGCACTGGGGGCAGGTAACAAGTACCATGTAACACGGAAACGGGCACGTTCAGGACACTCGCACATCCACTACAAGCGAACAACCACGAGGGACAGCCCTAAGTCTACGGTCCTAGGAGACGCTGCGGGGCCAGCGGCTCTCCCCGGGCCCCCGCGGCACCAAGCAGGGGAAAGGGGTGCCGGGTTCGAATCCCGCTGCACCGCAGCTCCCTTGCCCGCGGACGCCCCTCTCCGGCTTCAGTTTCTCCGTCCGTGAGTTGGCGACGGCCATAATACCTCCACGTAAGTGAAGCTCCTGGCAAACCATAAAGCGCTACCGGGGCGCCGGCCGTGATCCTTACTGTTGGTAGTACTGGTCACTTTCACCCAGGGGCCAAGTCAGAGTTCAAGGGTCAGGGCCTCCCGGCTCCGGACCTGCGCCCCGGGCTCCCGGCAGGCCGAAGTTGCTCACGGTCAGCGGGACGGCAGCCTCAGGCCCTTCCCCGTCCCCGGACGGCAGTCCCACCGATAGTCGCTGCCACTCCTCAGTGCCCAAACGGGGACCGCTTCCATACACTGCTATCCCTGACAGCCGGGGAGGCTCCGCCCCCAAGACCGGCCAATCAGAGCGTCGACCTGCAGAGCCCCTTGCTGATTGGCTAATCAGTGAACCCAATAGGACGGAGGAACGTGCATCACATGGCCCAATCACCGCCCCCGCTGGGCGTCTGAAACCAATCGGAAATGCGTCTCAGGGTCAGGTCAGCCCTCGGCAGAGCATTGACCAATCGGACAACGACAACACTTGGTGGTGCGGTTGGTGGCGTGACAGCGGGGGGTGGGGGGGCTGTACGGGAACCGAGCAGGGTCAGGCTCAACGCGATGGCTCTATGGAGCAAGGGCGGCCGAATGGGCCTGGGCCTCGACATGGGTCTGGCCCGTCTGGTCTGCGCGCGGGAGTTGCGGTGTTCCCGCAGGCAGAGCCGCGAATCCCAGCAAGGGGAAAGCGCTGAAAGGTGAGTGCCGGGCTCTTCTGCCAGCAGGCCGGGGTGGCAGCGACCCACGGGGGTGAGCAGCCCTCGCCGGGGCATGGCCTTGGTAACGCCGCGTCGTCGTCGTGACGTCAGCGCGGCGACGACGTCGTCTCCTTCCGGTGTCACCATGGCAACGCTTATGGCGTCGTTATGGCGACAGAAAGCCGGCATTTCCATCCCCCCCCTTTCCTCCACGTGCCTCAGTGGGACAGAGCCGGGGTGAGGAGCCGGAGACCCAGGTTCCAATCCTGCTCTGCCACCATTTAACTCTGGGCAAGGCACTTGCAAACCCTCTCCATCTTGACCAGTCACCCAACAAGCATTTATTAAGCACCTACTGTGTGCCAGGCACTGCCTCAAACACTAAATACAAAATGTGCTAAATACACAAAGAGGCGCAGGACAGTCCCTGCCCTCAAGGAGCTTATAATCTAACGGGAGGAGACATGTACAAACAAATAGATACGAAGCAAGATGTATACAGGATTAGTAGGAAAGGAGGTACTGAGATTAAGGGGGTTGGGGAAGGGTTCCTGTGGAAGATGGGATTTTATTTAAGACTTGAAGAAAGCCAGGGAGGTCAGTAGTGTGAGGGGAGGAAGATGAGTGTTCTAGGCATGGGGAACAGTCAGAGAAAATGCCCAGAGCTGAGAGATGGAACGTGTTGGAGGCCGGTGTCTTTGGGTCAAAGGGTATGTGTCAGAGAGTCAGGTGGGAGAAGGCTGGAACATAGGAGTGGGATGGGTTGGGAGGGGGGCTTTGAACACCCAGCAGAGCGTTTTATGTTTGATCCTGGAGGAGAAAGGAAGTTCACGGAATGGGGGTGGAATAACGTTGTCAGACTTTCACTTTAGGGTGATCTGTTTGGCAGCTCCAGGAAGACTGGATCAGAGTGGGGAGGGTCCTGAGGCAGGCAGACCCCCCAGCAGCTACGGCAGTAGTCCAGGTGTGAGAAGATGAGGGTCTGCACCAGGGTGGGGGCAGTGTCCGAGGAGACAAGGGGGCATGTTGGAGAGGTGAAGAGTTGAAATCGATGGACCTGGCACCATCTTGGATCTACGGGGTGAGAGACAGTGAGGAGTCCAGGATGACTCCTAGGGTGGGAGCCTGGGGGACTAGGAGGGTGGTGGTGCCCTCAACAGGGCACCAAATAGGGAAGGTCCAAGTGAGTTCTGTTTGGGGCTTGTTGAGTTGAGGATGTCAATGGGACATCCAACCTGAGATGTCTGAGAGACAAGGAGAGATGTGGGACTGGAGGTCAGTGGAGACGTTGGGGCAGAATGGGTAGATTTGAGAATCGTCAGCGTAGAGATGGTAATTAAATCCATGGGAGTTGTTGAGATCGACGAGTGAAGTAGAATAGAGGGAGAAGAGAAGAGAAGAGGGCATATGTCCGGTCTTTCATAAACCTTAAAGTGCTATATAAATGTTAGCTGTTCTTCTAGAGAATAAAAGATATGCATATAAAGTATCATATACACGTATATAGTGTGTGTGCGTAAATACAAGGTAATTGGTAGGGCATTAGCAGCTGAGGAATCAGCAAAGGCTTCAGGTAAAAGGGAAGCTGGAGAAATATGGTGCGCAGCTCGGACAAAGGCCTGGCGGTGGGAAATAGAACACTGTGTATGAGCAGACTGGCCAGTTTGGCTAGAATGGCGAAGGAAAAGGAGTGTCATGTACTGAGCCAGGAGGCCGGAGCTTGGCTGTCTTTACGTGCCAGAGGGGTTTCGTACTTCGTCCTGGCAGTGATAGAGAGGTGCCAGACCTTCTTTTGAGCAGAAGGCTTTGGGAATGATGGATGCCGCTGGCAGCCGTGTGGAGGATGGTTTGGAGAGGGAGGACCTCGAAGCCCGGAGACTGAAGATGCGGGTGTCGCGGCGCGCCCACCAGTGATGATAGGTCGGGGAGCTTGCATCTAGTGCAGTTACCTCGGTTTGCAAATGGGAAACTGAGTCCCAGAAAACCAGGTCACACCGAGTCAGTAGCAGAGCTGAGTTGGAACCCAGACTTTGGTTGTTTGGACTGCAGATTCCGGAGTTGGAAGGCGCAGAGCTCAGAGACCTGCCCTGGTCCCCGCCCATAGCTTAGTAGGAGCGGCCTCCCTGACCCCTGATCCTGCCTCAGACAAGCCCCGTCTTTGTTTGGAGATTGTAGCACCTGTGAGGCAGCCCACTTCTCTCTCCAGCAGGGCTTCTCAGAAGCCAGGTTTTTCCTCCTGTCAGGCCCAGGTCGCCTCTGTGACCTTCACTCATTGCTGCCCTCCTCAGATTCGGCCTTTGGGGCCTTCACTTCCGCCTGAGGCCAGCAGTGCCCATCTGGAGGCTGGATTTGGAATCTGAGGACCCGGGTGATAACCCTAGCTCTCTGCCTCTCCCCTGTCTGGGCCTCAGTTTCTTCATCTGTAAAATGGGGGGGTTGGACTAGATGGCCTCGAAGGTCCCTCCCGCTCTAAATCCACTGAATCCATTCCTAGGGCAGGCTGGTCCCTTGCCTAGTAGGACAATACACAGGCTGACCTTAGAACCACAAGTAATAGTGTTGCCAGACCAGACCCCCAGTCTTGTGGTGCTGACCCTGCCTGTAGCCTAGTATTCGGGGATTCTGTGAAGTGTGATGCATTTATGAAGTCATGTTCTTTCTCTGTGGGTGTTTTTAATAAACATTAAAATCTATAGACTCTCCTGAACCTTCTAAACCAGTCTGACTCCAGACATTCATTCCTCTGGGCAAGCCGCCAGTCAGAACATGCCCATGCCCACCCTTTTGGACTTGCTGTCAGAGCCAGATTACAAGCCACGAGGACACCTAATGCGTCTGTTAACTCTAGGGCCACACCTTCTTTGGGACCCACAATAGGATTTTCCAGCTCTGGCATCACACTCAGATGACTTGGGGCTGTTTCCAAAAGTCAGATCTACTTTTAATGGGGAGAAAAAAAAACCCACTTAATACCCCTAAAAATATTCCAAAAAGTTAAAAGAATCCTTCAGGGATTTGGAGTCAGGGAACCTGGATTTTACTAACCTCAGTTTCTTGACCTGTAAAGTAGATCCTCCCTAAAGCCCCTTTCAGCTCTCAGTCCCCTGGGCCAGCCCTGCCAGGACCAGATGCCCAGAATTCCCCCAGGCTCCCAGCCTTCGTGACAGCCACCCCTCCCCTCTTCTCCCCAAGTCCTATTGGCCAAAGAAAACCAAGCCCAGACTTACCTCCTCTCGGCAAGCCTTTGTAAAGCCCCTGCTGTTGCTAGCTGGTGAGGATGCCGAGAGTGGGGATGGGGAGCGCAGTCAGTCACTGAGCGTTTATTAAAGGCCACTGAGAAGGTGGAGGCAGAGGGGAAGGGGCCGTGTACTGCAGGTCCAGAGGCAGGAAGGTTGAAGAGGAAGTAGCCAAGGCCAGACTGACCAGACCAGAGTCCCGTGTATAGTGAGGCTTGAAACGATGGGCTGGAGGCAAGAGGTGAAGGGCTTTAATCACTCAGTCCACAAGCATTTACTAAGCACCTACTGTGTGCCCGGCGCTGAGCATACAAAAACAGTGAAGGGACCAGTCCCTGATCCCTGGGAGCTGACATTCCAACAAGGGAGAGGACAAGGACATACTTAAGTCTATTCAGAATGAGCATGAAGAGAATTAGCTCAAGCCAATACAAAATAGTTTAGTGTATGGGTGCCTCGCTGTCGGGACGATTGGGAAGAGCTGCTCCCTGAGGATAGGAGGGACTCTCCTCAGAACTAGAGAGGCTCATCCCAGAGCTGGCCGGTGGCCAGCGAGCAAGGGACAGAGGGGCCCGCGTGGCCGGACCCCAGAGGGGAAGAGGAGGCACACGGAGAGCCGCGAGGGCCTTCCTCAGTTTCCTGTGATGCATCACAGGGGAGCACACGGCCTTCCATCTGGCCAGCCCCTCTCCTTTCTACACACACACACACCCCTTTGTTCACGCCTTCCCAACGGCTGCGGCTCACGCGAGGACGTGATCTCACTCAGCCTTACATGTTCAGTGGGCGCTATCATCCTTTCCCATTTCAGAGGAGGAAGAGGAGTCTCAGGTTAAGTGGCTTGCCCAGGTCTACCCAGCGCTGCATGCGCATTGGCTGGTCTGGTAAAAAAGCAGACCTCTCCCAGCTCATCGAGGTTCCAGGTGTCCTCTGACCTCTCATCTTCACGGTCCGTGGTTCCCAGTCTTTAAGACCGTAGAGGGCAGGAAGCGTGTCTCTGGTGTCCTTGGGGGTCGCCGGCTCCCTGCAAGGGGCCCCACACAGAACAAATACTGCTAAGTAGGTGACTGACTCGGGGTCTGTTCCTCCCTAGGCCACAGTCTGCATCAGAGACGAGAAGGCTGCCCAAGATCTACACCAAAACAGGAGACCAAGGTAGCTGGGGAGACCTGGCGGACGGGGAAGCACCAGAACCTGGCACGACCCGACTTTTCTCTCCTTCCACGGATAGCTCTGCTGTGTAACATCTCTGCTATTTCCAAACAGATTCCCCTTCTCTACCCACCAGGCCTTTCCTCATAACGAAAAACATTTGAAAAGTGAACCCTGGCCATCAAGAGAGTCAGGATCCACACCCATCCCCCGGCCCTCTGCAAAGAGGAGACCGAGGGGTCTAGGCACACTCAGCCGTGACGGTTTGGGGCCACCCCCCTCCCTCTCACATTGCTTTCTGGGTCCTGCCCAGTTCTCCCTGCATCCGTTCAAATCCATCTTCCCATTCATCTTTGGGCCTCACATTCATCCTTCTCAGCGCACAAAAAGACTGCGTTCCATCCACACGCAGACTTTTCACAGCCCTGTCTCTGAGTAATTATTTCTTAATTACAAGGCATGTATTAGCCTCGCAGGTGTGGACACGTCCAAGTCAGGAGGTGATGAGTGGATGCGGGGTCAGTGTGGAGCTGAGGGGTCCACTGGTGCTTCCTGCCGGGCTCCTTTAGAGGGGTTATCTGAGCCCCTCTAGCCTACAGTTGGCTTTAGCCCCATGATTGAGTCAGAGGAACGCAGGAAAGGTGTCTCCCAACACAGATATTCTCCCTGGGTTGAGACTCTCAGCCGTGGCTGCTGAAATACACTGAGCCCCAGACAATTTAAAAAAAGAGGTGTAAATAAGTACTCCCCAAAGAGGTTGGACTGTGTCCCGCCTAGGAAAAAAACGTCCGAGTAAGGAAGAGGCCAGTCGGGATGACGGCCTGGGGGAGAGCGGGCGCCCCAGGGTAGCATCCCCGCCACCGCCGGCACCCCAGGCCTGGCGTCCGGCTATGTCACTCACGGGGAGGTCCATGACCCCTGCCTGGCTGACCTCTGGGCCCCCAACGGCGGGGGAGCTTGAAGGCCCTGAGCCCGGCCCTCTCTGCTCCACTGGCGGTCTGTGTTGACTCTTTCACGCTGGGCCCCCTCTTTGCGTAATGGGCAGGACGTGTTTTGTTTGTCTGACTCTGCTGTTGTGACGGTTTGGCTTTAAGTGTCATCGGTGTTATAGGCAAGTTAGGGATGGTTGGCAGAGTGGTCAGGGCAGTAAGACCCGAGTTCGAGCCCAGCCTCAGACACTTCCTAGCCGTGGGGCCCTGGGCAAGGCACCAAACATCTGTCTGCTTCAGTTTTCTCATCTGTAAAATGGGAATAATAATGCCATTACTTCCCAGGGTGATCGTAAGCCTCAAGTGAGAATGTTTCTACAGCACTTTGTAAACCGTGGAGTGCTCTGTGGGTGTTAGCTATTATTGTTTATCTAGGTATCTGTTTTGTTTTGTCCTTACCCCTTAAAATCAGGCGACTTGGATTATGGGCCTAGATCTGTCACTAAAAGGTGTGGTACCTTAGGAGTTTCACAAAGGTCCCCCTTTCTGTAGTCTCAGTTTCTTTTCTGGAAAATGTGGAGATGAAACTAGATTTCCAGGTCCCCTCCCAGCCCTGACATCCCCTGTTCTAAGGTCCCTCCCAGTTCTGGTACTTCCTGTTCTAAGGCCCCTCCCAGCCCTGACATCCCTGTTCTGAGGCCCTTCCCAGCCCTGACATCCCTGTTCTGAGGCCCTTCCCAGCCCTGACATCCCCTGTTCTAAGGTCCCTCCCAGTTCTGATACTTCCTGTTCTAAGGCCCCCTCCCAGCCCTGACATCCCTGTTCTAAGGCCCCTCCCAGCTCTGGTATTCTCTGTTCTAAGGAAAGTGTCTCATCGGCCTTAAAAGTACCCCCATATTTAGAGTAACACTGACAGGTGCTCTGTCTAGTCGGCAGCAGTAACAGACAGAAGGGTTTATAGGGAAAGCCCTCAAAGAGAAGCCCCCAGGGCCCTGTCTCTCCCCCACCATGGCTAACTCAGAGCCAACTCCTGACCTCTGTCCCTCTTTTCCCACAGGTTTTTCCAGCACTTTCACTGGGGAAAGAAGACCCAAGGACGACCAAGTGTTTGAAGCCTTGGGAACAACGGATGAATTAAGTTCAGCTCTTGGGTAACTGAGCTGTGATTGGGACCCGGGTTGTCTTTGCCTTTGGTACATCTGTAGCAACAACTGTAGTCACCGCGTGCCCCGTCTGGGGGAGGGGGAGAGGGGCTTCTCATCCCACTTTCTAGATCACCTCGGCGGCCCAGAATAGCTGAGAAGTCCGCTGAGCCCACACCTAAGGAGCGACTTTTTCTGGTTCCCTTAGGTTTGCCATAGAAGTCATGACAGAAAAAGGCCACACGTTCATAGATGAACTTGAGAAAGTGAGTAACGCCAACCCCTTCTCCCTTGGTGAATGACCCGGGCGGTGGGCACACATCTCAGCTGCCTGCAGGGGCAGCTGGCCTGCCTTCCTCCCTGCCAAACATTGGGAAGCGCTCTGGGGGGCATTCTCCTGGAAGGGACCATGAGGCCCATGAACTGACCTATGTTGTGAGCTGTCAGTCAACCTGGCTTTTTTGGTGTAAAACATCTGGTTTGGCCTGTATTCACTATGTAGGTCAATCCTAGTCTGACTTCCTGCTTTCTCTGAAGTGTAGTCCCCGGTTCCTGTTGCTGCCTGAGCTGAGACCAGCCAGGGGAAGAAGCCTTGGTTGGCAATACACCCAGTATAGAGAAACCAACTTCATTTGGGGTTCCATTGGGGGGGATTTTTGTTGTAGTTACCCTGCTAAGGCCAGAGGTGATTCTTCAGTACTATACCTGACTTCCCCTAAGCTTGGTTTGGGGACAGCTCAAGGAGCATCCCTTTGTATCAGAGCTGTGGCTGCTTGATAAATACGATGGGCCCGCTGTCTGATCCCGGCAAAGAACATCTGTTAGCTCATGGTTTCAAATATATACCTTTTATCATATGAAGAAAAAAAAATCCTTCCTTTCCTTTATTTTTTAGTGTTTTGAACATCACTAAGTGCCATATTTTATCAAAGGCTTTCTCTCCTAATGGCATAATTATGTAATCTTTACTTTTTTTTTCTTGTGTTGAAAAGATTTACCAGATTGATTGTTATCCTGATCTTAGCCATCCCTGCATTCCAGTTATAAGTCACACTTGGTCATAATCAATATCATTTTTGTAGTGCTGCTCTGTTCTGTTCCTGAGTATTATTAACTACATCATCCTAGGCAAGTCACTTAAGCTCTCCATGACTCAGTGTTTTAGGACTCAGTAAGGTGGGAGATTTGACCTTGATGACCTCTAAAGCCCCTTTCATCCCTGAATCTATTATCCTATTTAAAATTATGCATCAGAATGCATTAATGATCTTGGCCTACACTTTTCTTTCTCAGCCTTATCTTTTCCTGGTTTAGGGATCAAAACCATGTACCGTCTTTCTCTCTTTGTAGAATCAGTCTGTGGAGCAGAGAAATTACTTTTTCTTTAAAAGTTGGGTCAGATTTGCTTATGAATCTATGTGGACTTGGTACTTTCATGCAGATATTTCTAGTCTATTTAGATCAGATTCTCTACATGTTACTTTTGATATTGTGTGAATAAGCAGTCATTTCTTTGAGGTTCTTAGATTATTAGCATAGATTTGGGTATGGTCATCTGATTTTTTGAAATATTTTGCCTTCACTTTGTCTTTTTTTTTTTTTAGGCAGTTGGGGGTTAAGTGACTTGCCCGGGGTCACACAGCTAGTAAGTGTCTGGTCTGAGGCCGGATTTGAACTCGGGTCCTCCTGACTCCAGGGCTGGCGCTCTGTCCCCTGCACCCCCTCGCCGCCCCTGCTTTGTCATTTCTGATTTGAGCTTATTCTCTTTCATTTTTTCCCTCTTTGCTTATTAGTTTTGTTAATCTCCTAAAAAACAGCTCTGGAGTTTGTTGGGTTTTTTTATCATTTCCCGTTTTGGTTTTCACTCATTAATCTTTACTGTTGTCTTGGTTACAAGTGCAGACTCAACTCAGTAAGCTCCTTGCTCCCTTCCTTATTGATTTTGACATTTAATGCCATAAATTTGCCCCGATGATGCTTCGGTTTAATCCTGCTGTTGCCGATGGGAGCCCCTTGCTGAGGGGACGGGATTGCCGCCTCCAGGTGCTTCGATAGCTGTAATGTGGAAGAGGGATCAGACTTCTTTGGCTTAGTCCTAGGGGGCAGGACAAGGAGAGCGGTGAGAAAGCTGTAGAAAGGCGGATTCCAGCTTTCTGGAAGGAAAAACTCCCCACCCCAGCTCTCCCAGAGTGGAACATGGATTCCCTGTCAATGGAATTCTCCAGCCAGAAGCCAGACGCCTGCCAGGGGGAAGTATCCTAGCAGAGATTCTGGTACAAGTCGGCCTACATGGCCACCGAGTTCCCTTCCATCTCTGAGACTGTTAATAAGGACAGCCCCTCCTTGGGAGGGGGCCTGGCCAGTGTTCCTGAGCAGATTGGAAACGGGAGCACCAGTAAACACGAGGCCAAGGGAAGGACAGAACATCTGTTTGCACTTTCGTTTGAGGCTCACGAGCTTAAGCTAGTGGCATGAAGGTACCTTGCGAGGCCATGTGATGGAGGTGATCGGAGCTGGAAGGGATGCTGGCGTTATCTCATCTAACACACATTTTACAGAGGAAAAAACTGAGGGTTGGCAGGATGGGAAGGGAGTGATTTATCCCAAGTCACAACAGCCAAAAGTGGCCACACTGGGCCAGAGAGTTAGAAAAAGCCAGTTCTTCAGCCTTCAGACCTAGGGTTTTTTCCCTGTTATCCACTCATATCCAAAAGCTATTTAAAAAATAATAATAATAATAAGTACCTACTATGTTCCAGGCACTGTGCTGGGGAATTTATCATTATAACCACATTCAATCTTCACAACAACCCTGGGAGGTAGATGCTATTATCATCCTCATTTTACAGTTAGAGAAACTGAGGCAGACAGCAGTGAAATGACTTGCCCAGGGTCGCACAGCTAGTAAGTATAGATTTGAGCTCAGGTCTTCCTGATTCCTGACCCAGGGCTCCATCCACTGCACCGCCATCTGTCTTGAAACTTCTGAAATCAGGCTCCAGGTTTACAGGTTTCCTTCGTGTGGTAGCTGGTCGGTGATTGTGGTAGAGATTTCAGTCTGGAGGTCTAAGACCAGTGTGTCTCTTTCACTTACTTTGTGACCATAATAAGGGCAGTCACGCTTAGTACTCCCTTAGTCGTATTCTTCCTCCTCCCTCTCCCCCTCCTCCTCCTCCTCTTCCTCCTCCACAGAGGGCCCAGTGTGAGCTTACTAGGGAATCGGAAGGAGAGATGAGGCTCAGATACACTTTGTAGACCCCAGCCATTTAGAAAACACAGATAAAGTTTGGTTTTTTTGGCTTGTTGGTGCTAGACAAACCAAGGATGTCAGCTTTACAAAAGATGAGTAGTCTCCGTGTGTGTGTGTGTGTGTGTGTGTGTGTGTGTGTGTGTGTGCGCGCGTGTGTGCGCGTGTGATGTGGGATTGGCGCCTCTGCTGTTGGGTTTTGAACCATCTGCGTGCAGACTGTAGCCATCATTGAGGGGGCCCTTGTCCTCCTGCGGCCCCAGGAACAGCCCAGCAAACCCCTTCCTGCAAGGAGGGCGAGGTTTCCGGGAGGGCCTTCACATGGAGGGTTTAATGTCCACTGATTAAAGGTTCTGACTGTCCCCACCAAACTGCCGCCTCAGTGCTTTGCGGGACTGTTACAAGGCACCTCTGCTCCTCACCTTCTGCTGCTCTCCCCAGATCCAGTGCAGGCTACAGGATGCCGGCTCGGCCATCGCGACGCCGCTGTCTTCGGCCAGGGAGGCTCACTTGAGTAATTCTCTCTTTATCTGACCCTTACAGAGGTAGCAGTTCCCTTTGAGCATCCTGGGCGTGCCCTCCCTCAGCCTGGGCCCACTGTTATCTCTGGACGGGCCAAGAACGCAGCCGTGGGATGGCGGGGAAGCCCCCAGAGGGAGGGGAGAAGCTGTGTCCATTCTGGGGAAGGGCGAGGGCGTTCTGCCCGAGGCTCTGCGATGAGCATTGGCCTCACGAGGGTTTCCTTGGGCTTCCTCTGTCCCTCTGCAGAGCGCACGGCGTTCAGTGAGGATGCCATCCTAGACCTGGAGCGCTGGATAGACGCATACACGAGCCAGCTCCCTGCCCTCACGGCTTTCATTCTGCCTGTAGGTATTGGAGTTACTGAATCACTTGGGCTTTGGCCAAACCCATGGGTGTGTGTGTGTGTGTGTGTGTGTGTGTGTGTGTGAGCATGCGCACGTGCACATGTGTGTGCGCTTGTGCTGAAAAAAGCGGGAGCTCCTGTCGTCTCATCTCTGTGGCCTTTGGACGTGGGGAGGAGCTGTGGCTCTTCCCAGGCCTTCTCTCCACTAAATACGGCACCACAGCCTATCAGAGTCAATGTCTTGTTTTCTGTTTCAGTCAGGAGGCAAGAGCAGTGCGGCGCTCCACTTATGCCGGGCTGTGTGCCGCAGAGCTGAGAGATGGTGAGAGGCTGAAGGACGGGAGGGAGGGACGGCCTGAGTGCAGATGTGTCTTCCTCATCTTTGTGTCTGCCCCCAGCAGCCAGCCCAGGCTTTAATCATGAGTGGATGCATGAATCCATGAGTGAGTGAATGAGCAAATGAGTGAATGTGAGAGTGAATGAATGAGTGAATGTGCAAGTGAATGAATAAATGAGTGAGTGATTGAGCAAATGGGTGAATGTGTGAGTGAATGAATGAGTGATTGAGTGAATGAGCAAATGAGTGGTTAAATGAATGAGAGTGAATGAGTGAATGAATGAATGAGGGAGGGATTGAATACGTGAATAAATAAGTGGGCAAATGAAGGAGTAGATGAATGAATAAATGAATTATTAAAGGAATGAATGGGTGAATGAATGAATGAACAAATGAATGACTAGGTGAGTGAATGACTGAATGAAGCAGTGAATGAATGAAGGAGTGAATGAGTAGCAGCCTGGCAGAGAGAAAAGGACATTGGGAGTCAGGAGACCTGGATTCTAGTCCTGAGATTTCTACTCAGTCCCTGTGACCTTGAGCATGTCACATCCTTTGGGCCTCAGGTTCATCCTTTCTAGAAGGAGAAGAAATCAGAAAACCCAGGTTGTGGTTCCAGGTGTGCTGCTACTTAATCGCTGTGCATTTAGGCCAGTCACCCTGTCTGGGCCTCAGTTTCCTCATCCATACAATGGAGAATTTATCCTTCTGTGAATCTGAGCCAGAGGCTCACGGCCAGGGCCCCAGGATGCCTCTATGCCCATGCTCATGGCCAGAGCCATAGGAAGAAGGTGCATATGGGATAGAACAGCTTCATTCAGGCAACATTTGTGAGCCCGTGAGTAAGCTATCGGGGGTACCCCCTAGGCCCCCCCAGAGTCTAGAGCCATGTCACAGGAGAGGGGAGAACTAAAGCAAAACGTCACTTTTCCAGGGACATCACATTAAACGTTTGAAGAGGAATAAATCCACACGAAGACGCCTCTGGCTTAGTGGCGCCGGCCGTGCACCCCTGCATGGGGAGGGAAATAAAGCCCTGATTTGAGGAGGGACCAGGAGATAAAGTCTCTCCTGTATATGAAGGCATATCCTATGGCCTTAAGTGCTTGGGGATCTCCTCAGCCTGTCCCTGCAAACAAAAGCCAGCCCAGGCCGGCCTCACAGCCTCCTGTGGGCGTGCAGGCCAGCTGATGGCCTGCTGAATGGGCAGAGTGCAGAGGAGGCTGGCCTGGGCCAGGAGACCCTGTTTGTTTCTAGCTCCAGCTCTGCCACTAACCAAGACAGTAATAACAGTAGTTAACATCACAGTAACAAAAAACAGCTGACGTTTGTATAGCGCTCTAAGATTTGCAAAGCACTTTACGATATCATCTCATCTGATCCTTACAGCGACCCTGGGAAGCAGGTACTATTAGCGCTCCTTTTTGCTGATGAGGAAGCTGAGTCAGGCAGCAGTTAGAGACCTTCCCAGGATCATGCAGCCAGTTGGTGCCTGAGGCATGGTTCAGTTTCCTGTCTTCCTGACTCCCAAGTCCAGCACTCTGCCTGCTGCACAGTGACCTTGGATGAGTCATAAGCCCTCTTTGGCACTCCATTTTCTCATCCGTAAAGTAGGAGGGTTGACCCAGCTGGTCCTTTAGCCCCCTCCTCTCCCTCTGTAACATTCTGTGACTGAGCGAGAGTTGCCCTGGTCAGGCCAGCCCAGCTGGCTCTCCACAGTTCACCAGCAATCTCCCCAAAGGACCAGGGTGTGAAGACATGAAGGAGGGTGGGAGGAGAAGGATGTGTGAGTGAGTTCAAGAAAGTGGGGCTGTGGCCAAGACCTGGAGCATGCTCCACGGCTTGGCTGGGGAGGGTGGTAAGGGGGTAGCAGCTCATCTGGGTCCTCCTTCTAGCTCCCTTCCTGGGCGTCGTCTAAACACCCTTGCTGTCAGTTTTCATGCTCTCATGTGTGTGCACACTGTGCCCATTCATAGCATCGTGAGTCAGATGGGGTCAAAGACTGGCCTCGACGGAGCTGAGGGCGGCCCAGAAGACAGCCCTGAGCAGGGAGGTGAGGGGAGTGGCGCTGGAGGTCACTCACTGTTCCCAGGCCGCAGAGACCAGTAATCTCTGCTTGTTTCCCCCCCTTCTAGTGTGGTTCCGCTAGTCCAGGCTGGGCAGACGGATGCAAACGTGGCCAAATTCTTGAACAGGTAATAAAACCAGTGGAAAGAATCCCATTCCCCAAATGGCTCTCCCTTTGAAGCCAAGCTCAGCATTTTATCTTCACGATGTCTGGAAATGAGGGCCCTGTTCGCTCCAACCCTCCAGCCTTGAAGAGGACAGATCAGTAAGTACTGGGTGTCACAGCAGTTTGGCCAGTTAGAGGGCACATACACAGGCAAGGTCGTGTTGCCTCTGCCATCTGGCGCCATTGAAGGCAGCAGCTGGGCCTTATTCAGCAGTTACAAAGCACCTACTATGGGAGACGGCGTCAGCCTTCAGGAAGCTTCCATTCCAACAAGGACACACAGACCATCTACTAAACATGTGCAAAATGAACACATGGTGGTTTTGTGAGGGAAGGCACACCGGGTCCTGCACACAGTAGGTTCTTTCTCGATGTTTCATGAATAAAAGAAAACTGGAGACGCTGATGTGGGACTGTGACAAGCTGTCGTCGAGGTTGCTCTAGGGTCGTGAAGCCCTGTCCCATCCGTGATCTCACCTGGTGCTCACAGCAGTATGAGAGTGGAGGGCAGGGGCTGGTATCCCCAGTTCGTGGGTGAGTCCCAGAGAGGGAGCTGACTCGTCCAGGGTCAAAGCAGTGATAGGGTGAGCCCAGACAAGGACCCAGGCTACTGACCCTCAGTCCAGGCTCTTTTCTGTGCTCAGTTCTGCCTCCTCCTCATTACCTGCCAAGGTAATGAGTCATCTCTGTGGGGAGCTGGTAGGTTAGGAGTAAGGGCACAGGTTGTAGGGGCAGGCTCTCCTGGAAGTCCCTCTAGCAGGGGCTGGACCGCTGCTTGTCTGGGATGTTGTTCAGGTGTGGGCTGAACAAGAGGGCCGCTGACTCACGGGTCTGGCGGTGGCAGTGCCCAGAATTGGCCTGTCCATTAGACTCCTGGCCCTGCTCCATGTGCCAGGGGCCTTCCTGCCGGGCAGTCGGGATGCTGCTGTTGGCCAGGAAGCCTGTCGGGCAAGGAGCCCTGGCACCGGCCGCAGCCTCGGGCTCCAACGACAGTTCACCACATGCCCAATTCATCAAACTGCGGTTGGCCAAGGACCCACCACTACCATTAAGTTCTGCTGGGGACCAATTGGCCATTTAAACGTCTGCCTTTCACATTAATTTGGGGATCGGCATTTCTCTCTCCTTTGGAGATGTTGTTTGACTCTCTCTCTCTTTCTCTTTCCCCCTCCAGACTCAGTGACTATCTCTTCACTTTGGCCCGATACACAGCCATGAAAGAGGGGAAGGAAGAAAAAATATACCGAAGACAGGACCCCTAAGGCTGAGGCGTGCTGGGAAAATCCTGTAAAGAGAGAGGCCAGTGCCCTCCTCCCCCCATCCCAGCAAGGTGGGGGCAAGAGTTAGCATGTGGAGCGTGCGGACCCAGGACTGTCCTGATGAAAAGTCTGAACCCCCTCACCCCCGCTCACATCACATCCCCCCACAGCTTCATCCCGGACTCTCGTCAACTCTGAGCAGCCAGTGCTCCCGAGGACTGGGCCTCTGAAAACAAAACTGTTGGACACTTGGAGGCCAGATGCCAAAGGTGACCAAAGGATAAAAGGAATGCCTGAGTCCAGTGTGTATGTGTGTGTGTGCATACGTGTGTGCGTGTGTAAAGTTCCTGAAGCCCTCCCGTGGCCAGCCTTCCTCGAACTTCAGGGATTCAGCAGAGCGCTTGAGCACATCCACAACGTAAATGTGATTTACCTGTGCCAGAGGGGCCTTAAATGTCACATTTATAAAGGAAAAGCCAGCAGGATTTGGTATTGTAGTCACCTCCGAGCCATCCGTCACCCACCAAGCGTGAGGAGAGGCCCGAGCAGATTTACAGGCCAGGGCTGCTAACAAATACTGGTCCCCTTCGGTCCACACGTCAGGGTGGAGGAGGGAGGGGGAAGCTCACGGTTCTGCCCTGGCCCCACGGATGCCCCGGCAGACACTGCCGGGACTGCTCGCACAAATGAATACTCCCACTTGCATCAGGCCTTCTTTTGAGGCAGAACCTTCAGAAAATGGGAGTGCCCCTGAGCTAGCTAATGCCTCAGGTCAGCCCCCACAGTTGTGATGTATTTAAATTGCAGTCAGCCCCACCTCCCAAAAAGCCCTGGATGAGGTTGGGTCGGTGTCTCTGTCTTCCCCCCCCCCCCCCCCCTTGCACTTCTCATCCTTTGCTGCCTTCCTGACCCAGTGTGAGAGAGAAATGAGTGGTCAGGTCTGTCAGAAATCAGTGGATTTCCAGAATTACTGACAGCCGTTCACAGCTTTGGTCAAGGGAGATTAGGAGGAAATGAGCCGTCAGCTGTTAATAAGGGAGAAAACAAGCATTGTGGTGCAGGCCCAGGAAGACGAGGCCAGGGAGTTGAGACCTGGGTTCAGATCCCACCTCTGACACCTGCTGGCTGTGTGTCCCTAGGTGAGCCTGGCTTCTCAGCCTCAGTCTCCTGCCATGTAAAACGGGGGTGAGGACAGCACCTTCACTACTGACCTTACTGGTTGTGGGGAGGACCACAGTCACATGGGTCAAGCCCTTTGTTAGCCTTGACGCCTCTCTACACATCGGGGAGGGACATCATGTGCTGAGGCAGAGGAGGGAATGCAGCTGATTCCAGAGGGCCCGAGTTCAAATCCTGGCTCATGTGCCGCCTGTATGAGGTCGGGGGTCTCAGTTTTCTGCTTTGTTGTAACAGCAGCAGTGGACACGCCAGGCACTCAGCCAACGTTGTCTCGTGGGACCCCTGCAGCAGCCCCAGGAGGAGGCCGTCCTGTCCATTACCGACCAACCCAAAACCTACAGTGGCTCCACGTGGACCTTCAGATAACACACAAACTTCTCCCCTGGCCTTTGAAACCCTCCTCCTCCACCTTTCCAGTCTTCGAGTCATCATTCCCCTCTACTCCCTCATCTGTGCTAGTCAGATTGGCCTACCGGCTGTTCCACACACATACCACTCCAATGCCTACCTCGGGACCTTTGCCCAGGCTGTGCCCCCTGCCTGGAACGCCCTCCCTCATTACATCCTCCTCTTGGAATCCCCTGCTTTCTCTCCATCATAGCTGTGGTGCCACCACCCATGTGGTGAAGCCTTCCTAGATTCCATGCTACTCCCTCTTCCCTCTCAGTTTTCTCTCTCCTGAAATCATCTTGTTTTACTTTGTATTGACTTATTTATCTGTGTACGTGTTGTGCCCCTCCAGTAGAATGTGAGCTCCATGCAGGCAACAACGATTTGGTCATTGCCTTTGTATCTTCAGTCCCCAGCAAGGTGTCCCAGGCATCAAATTAGACACTTAGAAGCTTGATGAATTAAGTACCACAAGTATTGTGGTTCCCATTTTATAGACCAGGAAATGGAGGCTCAGGGGTTAAGTGATGTGCCTAAGGTCCCGCACCTAGTTAATGTCTGAGGTGGGATTCAAACTCGCTGCCATGCACACATGAGGCGGGGGACACATCATTTTAAAGGTCCTTTCCAGCTCTGATTCTTGCGATCGGGTACGGCTTCCTCAATGACAGTCTCAGAAACTGAAGACTATTTCCCTATCTCATTCCAACGGCTTTTTTCTGGGGAAGATTCCAGGAAGGATCCTAGCCCTAGTTGGGAGACAGAGGAATCTGAGAATTGCCTTTTTCATCAACCACCATTCCCCTGGGAAATTTCTCCAGACTCAGGAGCTAGAGAAACGTCCCCTTCTTGCTCCACTCATTCAATAACCAAAAGGCCAGCTTGGAGGTGGGGGGAGGGTCTCTGTGTTTGGCACAGGGGAGAGAGGGACCAGGTCCAGAACCCAAAGCTCTGTGCCTTCCATTACATCACTGGCTTCCTGATGGAAGCTTTAATTAAGGTTTGGAATGCCTCTCGAGTTCACCCAGACACACACCAGTCACTAATACATGCTGCTATCTTGTTATTCAACCTCTTCTTTAACTGATACCTCATGGTTATTGTTAATGTCCATTTTTCACAGAGTAATTTTCGAAGGCTCAGCTTGTAACACATCCCGATGACAAACGTTCCCAGCCCGGGCTCCCCCATCAGCTGCAATGTCACCCTGCGCTGTTCCTCACTGCCTTCCTCAGACAGCCCACCCCATTTTATGATAGCTCTGTCTCAGTTATCACTATTGAACCTTTAAGAATTCGGCGGCTTTTCAAATTTAATTGAATACAATTCTTTGTATAATAAATTCTGCGCGAATGCTACATAAATCAGCCCTAGGAAAGATTCATGGCTGTCTTCCTCCCCAACCCAGGGCCCAGAAATCTGTCACTGGCATTACTGGACCAAAGCTGGTACTTTTTGATTGTCACAAGAAATCAATTTAACCTTTCCAGCCCAGCTTGAGGGGCACATCTAATTTACAGCCACCAAATCATCAGATTTCCCAATGTTTTCATCTCCAGGAGTCCCTGGAGGATGAAGGATTTAGGTCCAAATAGAGAAAAAAGAGGGTCTTAGAAGTCCAACCTTCAGTTGGAGTCCAAAGCCTCTATGTCTAAGAACCAACGTGGCCACTTCTGTTCAAGTTGGGGAGCAAGGTCAGGATTCAGAAACTCCCACTCCCACACCTGACTGCCTGATGTGTAGGAGAAGGCACAGTGGCTGCTCCCTGCTATTTAGGAGAGACAGCCCCGCACCGTGGGAATGAGTAATGTGTTATTATTCTAGCCAGGCATCTTTTTTACATTCCCATCCATTACTTCATTCGATCATCCATCAACATAAATTATTTTTGCTTCCAGTTCCCGTTGAAGAGCAGACCTAACCCCACAGACAGAGACTCAGTTTGTCTTGAAAACTTTCTGAACGTGGACCTTTCGTGTAGTCCTGTAGGTGGAAAGCCCAGAACTGACATGGGGATATTGGGAGTTACTGTATTGGTGAGGACAAGTCCATGAGGTACAGGCAGCTTCCAGTGAAGAGCAGTCTAGAAATCACTAGCAAGGTCATTTGAGAGACTTTGTGTGATCTGCATGTGTTACCTGGCATAGAGTAATAATGCTGAAGAAATTTTTTTTTCCATTCATTCCTCCATTCTACCCATCCAACCATCCATTCATAGAAAGCTCTGATTTGGAACCAGGACCCTTGTTTGAAAGCTTGGCTCCCACTTCCCACCAGTGTGACTTTGGCAAGTTATTATACCAGAGGGGCTTAGAGCAGGGAGGGACCTTAAAGAGATCACCTCATCCAAGCCTTTCCTCCAACAAAGGCCTGGAATGCCCTTTTTCCTTACCTCCACTCCTGGAATATCTGGTTTCCTTCTAAACTAATCTCAAGTGCTACTCCTGACTTAGTAATAGCTGGCATATGTATATGTGAATCCTTGTATATGTACGTATATACTATATGTGTGTATGTGTGTATATATGCATGTTATATTTATACATATATATAAAATTAGCCGCTTTAAGGTTTGCAAAGCACTTAAAAATATTGTCTTGCTTGATCCTCACAACAACCCTCTTACTCCCATTTGACAGATGAGAAAACAGATTAAATGACTTGCCCAGGGTCACCTAGCTATTAAGTGTCTGAGGCCAGGCTTGAACTCGGGTCTCCCTGACTGCAGATCCTGAGCTCAATCCACTGTGTCATCCAGCTGCTTCTGTCAACCCTTCTCTGATTCCACCATTTACTAGTATTCTCCCTTCCAAAACTATCTGGTACTCATTTTATATTCTCTCTCTCTCTCTCTCTCTCTCTCTCTCTCTCTCTCTCTCTCTCTCTCTCTCTCTCTCTCTGTCTCTCTCTCTCTCTCTCTCGCTCTCTCTCTCGCTCTCTCCCTCTTCTCTCTCCCTCCCTCTCCTCTCTCTCTCTCTGTCTCTCCCTCTCTCTCTCTCTCTGTCTCTCCCTCTCTCCTCTCTCTCTCTCTCTCTCCTCTCTCTCTCTCCCTCTCCTCTCTCTCTCTTTCTCTCCCTCCTCTCTCTCTCTCTCTCTCTCTCTCTCTCTCTCTCTCTCTCTCTCGCTCTCTCTCTCTCTCCCTCTCCTCTCTCTCTCTCCCTCTCTCCTCTCTCTCCTCTCTCTCTCTCTCTGTTTCTCTCTCTCTCGCTCTCTCTCCCTCTCCTCTCTCTCTCTCCCTCTCCTTTCTCTCTCTGTCTCTGTCTCTCTCTCCCTCTCTTCTCTCTCCTCTCTCTCTCTCCCCGCTCCCTCTCTCTCCTCCCCACATATGCATATACCTATATATGTATACACACACACACACACACACACACACATACATACACAACATATAAAGTTTTCTGCATTTGTTGTAGGTATATAGATCATAGCTTTCCTGGAGGGCAGAGACGATTTCACTTTTGTTTTTGTAGTTTAGCACAATTTCTGGTACCGAGTGGGTGCTTAATAAATGCTTGTTGATAGACTTATTAAGTATCTACTGTGTGCCAGGCACTGTGTTAGGTACTGGGGATACATAGATAAAAATGAAACACTTCCTGCCCTCAGGGAGCTTACATTCCTTGAGGATAGACAACATATGCATTTAAACGTGTGTGTGTGTGCGCGCGCTCATGTGTGTGAAAGAAATACAAGAACAATTTTGGGGGCTGAGGGAAGTGGGGATCAGCAAAGGCCTCCTATAGAAAGTGGCACCTGGGCTCAGCATTGATGGAAGCCCAGAGGAGGAACTGGGGAGGGTGTGCCTTCCAGGTGTGGGGGGCAGCCTTTGCAAAGCCCTGGAGACAGGAGATGGAACAGCAAGGTCGGTTTGACTGCACCAGAGTTAGTGTTACAGACAGCTTCCTTGGCTAGGAAG